TGTTCTGAATTATCTGTATTGTTAAATTTCTCAGGTGGGTTATACTGTGTACTTTTTTGAAATTAAAAGAAAACTGTGGCTGAAGAACAAGGAGATAGAAAGTTAGGAGTGAGAGGACCCTGGAAAGAGTTACAGGGCTTTGGTTTAGGGGATTGGATGAATAGTGGTGCTGCTAATCAAGAGATTTAAATATGGCTGAGATTTCCTATATTTAAAAAAGACTAAAGAGAGTCCATTAAAATGAGTCAGTGGGAAATCCCTGATGACTTCAGCCAGCACGCTTTCATTGGCCTGGGTATATGGGAAGTGAGGTCTGATTATAGTCTGTGGAGCAGTGAATGGGAGGAAGAGATGGGGGTGCAGGCTAAGAAGGGAGGAAGCCAAGTCAAAGGGAGAAGTAGGGTGGTAGCTAGAGGAAGATTAGAGTCAAGGGAGTGTAACGATTTCTTTTTTCTCTAAAGGTAGGAGTAGTTTGAGAAGTAGCTTAAAGAAGGAGCCTGTAGAGAGGGAGGAGGTGAAGTTACTAAAGGGCTAAGTGATGGGATAAGGTTCATGAGCAGGTCAGAACTTGGCAAGGAAGGTTCTTGCTAGAGGAGCCACCTATTCAGAACCTGGAGAGAAGAAAGTAAGAATGGGAGCAAATGCAGGTAGGTTTGGTGAGGATCAGGAAATGGAGGGGAAGAAGTCATTAAATGTGGTTCTGGAGTTGAGCAGCAGATTGATAGAGAATGGCAAAAGTTTGGGAGCTGATGAGTGACAAGGAAAAAGTTTGAGAATCCAACGAAGATTAGAAACCATGCATTTGCAGTGAAACCTGTTTTTGAGATTGTGCCCTTATTCACCTCCAGCTGTGCTCTGATAGGTGAACTATACAATTGATGTAAAGCTGGCAGATAATCAAAGCCAAGCAATTTCATATTTTCTATCTATTTTCACTTCTGTGCTGTATAGCTTCTCTCTTTTTATACTGGAGACTTGGAAATACTCATATGTTTTAAGTTTTTGGTGAGGTTAATTAACATTTAACAACTTAACAATTTTTTTAACATTTTTTTCTTGTGACAAAACATATATAGCATAAAATTACCATTGCCATTCTGGTAAATTTATCAAAACTCTTTTATAGCATAAATTTACCATTTTGGTAAACTTACCGTAAATTGTTGCCAATTCTATACAGCCATTTATTGAATGCACACTCTGCTCTAATACCCTCCAAGGCAAAATTGCAAATAAAAACTCTTTTTGACTTCTACCTAGTTTTGGTAAATTTTGGTAAATTTACCAAAAGGACAAATTTTATGCTATACTTTTTTTGTTTTTACATTTAAAATATGTTTTGTTAAAAAAATTGACAGATAAAATTGTATCTATTTAACATGCATAACATGATGTATGTATCATGAATAGCATAGTATATGCATTATGGAATAGTTAACTCTAGGTAATTAACAAATGCATTTCCTCACACAGTTGTCATTTTTTGTGGTGAGAACATTTAACATCCACTCTCTTTGCATTTTTCAAGAATAAAATATTATCATCTGGTCATGGTGGCTCATGCCTGTAATCCCAACACTTTGGGAGGCCAAGGAGGGAGGATTGCTTGAGGCTAGGAGTTCTAGACTAGCCTAGACAACATAGTGAGATGCTGGCTCTACAAAAAAAAAATGCAATATTTTCTATATTTCTTGAATTTATTCCTCCTACCTAATTGTAATTATATATCCTTTAACCAACATCTTCCCATTTCCCCCTTGTCTTTAACCAGTTCAGCCTCTGAGACCATTGTACTTTCAACTTCTGTGAGATCAGCTATTTAAGATTCTACATGTGAGTGAGGTCATATTGTATTTGTCTTTCTGTACCTGGCTTGTTTTACAATTTTAACAATTTTAAAGTGTACAATTTAGTGGCATTAACTACATACGGAGTGCTGTTTACCAATTACTATTATCCTACAATTTTGATTTGAGGCATAACTTTGTCATCTCTCTTTTATCCTTTGTACCATTCTTGATCTATAAACTCAGTAAAGTCTGTAACTGAGTGGACTCTGTGTGTGTTGTGTGTGTGTGTGTGTGTGTGTGTGTGTGTGTGTGTATTTTTTGAGACAGAATCTTGCTCTGTTGCCCAGGCTGGAGTGCAGTGGCATGATCATGGCTCTCTGTAGCCTCTGCCACACAGGCTCAAGCAATCCACTCACTCCAGCCTCCTGAGGAGCTAGGATTATGTGCATGCACCACCATGCCTAGCTAATTAAAAAAAATTTTTTTTCCTAGAAATGAGGTCTCCTTATGTTGCCCAAGCTGGCCTCAAGCATCTAGGCTCAAGCAGTCCTCCTGCCTTGGCCTCCCAAGGTGCTGTGATTATAGGAATGAGCCACTGTGCCTAGCCAGCATTTGTATTTTTGATACTGAGCTTAATTGTGGCAAGTGATGTGCAAGGCACAAATTGTTGCATTAGCTTTCTAACTATTTGGTTGTAATGATTTGTTAATGTCTATCTTCCTTCCTAGTCATGGAAAGTCCATGAGTTCAGAGGCCGTGTCTGTCTTCTTTATAACTATATTTGCACTGGCCAGCACAGTGCTTGGCACATAGTAGGCATTCACTGATGTTTCTGAGCAAATGAAAGTTCTTTATCACATGAAGAATTTATTTTAGTTTAATAAATTCTTTCTGAATGCTTCATATGAAGTAGGCAAAATTTGTATTCACATATTAATACAGATTATAGGCATGGCACATTCCAATGTCTATTTAATTAGTACAAATCAAAAAGAGTTTTTATTTGCAATTTTGCCTTACAGGGTATTAGAACAGACTGTGCACTAAACAAATGGCTGTACAGAATTGGCAGCAATAATCCCCAAGTTTGAAGGCTGTAGGTTAATTAGGATAACGTGACAGAAAGTGAGTTAATCAAATTTAGAGTTTAATGTTCCAATAATTTATGTTCAGACACACTTCAAGTATATCAGCAGGTAACAGGAACTTTAGTTGCAGAATGCCCCAAAATACCAGAACTCCGGTGGATTTTCTGGCTTCCAGGAATGTTCTGGAGGAAGTAAAACCAATAAAATGATTTGGGGTCATTTTGTTCCATTATTCTACATTAAATAAAATATACTAGAATTTAAAATATTACCTCTGTACAAGATAAAAAGATGTAGTTTACCTATTAACAAATCAAATAATTTAGGAATTCTACTTTTCTTTGATGGTTACATTTATTGAGTTCAGTAATACCTTTATTTAATAAATATGAGTAAATATGGGCATTTATGTGTTAGCTGGAATTAGATATTCATTTTTTCAACTGGCTTATGGTTAAATGGAGGCAAAGGGGCAAACTACATATGTAAGAATTATCAGTATAATATTTAATACATCCCTGTAAGAATTATCACAGTATGTCCTCTATGAAAGATAAGGGTTCCGTGTGTGTTTGTGAAGAAGGCCACTGGAGGCCCTTTTTAAAAATACAGTCTACCTCCAGCATGATGTTTTTGATTGAATGGAAAAGGGAAGAAAAAGCTGTCAGGAGCTCTAGTTTTTTTTTTCCCCTCCACTTTTAACTCTAAAGCTAAAACTGGAGTTTCATTTTAGGAACCAGTAATAGAAAATTTCTTATGTACCTTCAGCAAAATCTAGTACTGAGTGGTTACTTTGGCTTTTCATCATGGGGAGTGTGTGTGTGGGGGGGTGTGCCTGTGTGCATGCGCTTGTGTGTTTAAGTGTGTAGGGCAAACAGACAATGGGTACGGGTCTTTGAAATGGACATCTTGACTAAAGTAATAGTGAAAAAGAGGAATATAGATGAAGAGTGAGGAGGGACAGGGAAGAGCAGAGTCACAGGAAACAGTGAATGAGGCTGCAGTCTCAGCCGTGTAAACGCCCTTTCTTTGTCCCTCCACTGTTGTCTCCTGTCTTATGATGATGCTGGTTTTCAGCCAACTCTGAGAGAGTAAAAACAGGGTCTGGAGTTTCAGTGCCTGTGTGGCTGATATGAGCAGCTTGCATTTCTGACTAGGCCCTGGAGTAGCAACAGCATAGATTTCCAGGAAACAGTTCCTCTTGTCATTTTTATTCCTGAGTCATCAAGTTTAGTTATTCACTTGTCTAGTGTTCCCAGCTACATACAAATCAAACAAGCAGGGAATCTTTTTCTTCTTTCTCTTCTTCCTTTTTTCTTATTTCCATCTTGTTTAGTATACCTTTTCTTTAAGTCAAGCACACGCATTTGAACATCAGTAGTTACCGTTTCCATTAGCAAGCATAGGACTTCTGCCTTACTTAAATGTCTTCTAATGCTGTGGTGTGTCACAGTGAGTTAAGACATTAAAGATGTTGCATACATATGACAACATTGGAAATCTCAGAAACATCATATCGAATGAAAATACAAAGTTGTGAAATGTCTAATATGATGCCATCTATATTTCCTTAAAAAGTCATGTAAAGCAATCCTACCACATCTCATACAATCTAAAAGGCTATATTGATGCTAAGATGCACTATTATTTTATATACACTGAGAAAGGTGGGAAATTGCCAATTAAATTATGACGTAATGTCTCATGATGGATTGTAAGATACATTTACATTTTAGAAATGGCATATCAAAAAATATGCATTTTTAAATTGAAGGTAAATTTAATTATTTCAAAGGAAATAAGGTAAATGTATTTTATTGAAGCATAGTTATGTAATAAAAACATAAAAACATGCATAGGAATGATATTTAGCCAATACAGGATGTGGTAATCTCCATAAAGGGAGGGAGGGGCGTGGAGGGGGAGGCCAGATGAGGGGCTTCATCTCTATAGTTTGTTTTTTAAAATTATAAAGCAAACATTGCTACAGTTAAGATTTGACAAAATTGATTGGTAAGCACATACAATTTTCTGAATGCTTTCAGTATTTAATAATGAAAAGTGTATATTTTAAAGGAACATTATTTATTTATTTACTTTTATTTTTATTTTTTTGAGACAGAGTCTCACTCGGTCACCCAGGCTGGAGTGCAGTGGTGCGGTCATGGCTCACTGCAACCTCTATAAAGTTACATTATTTCAAAGGTACGTGCAAAGCAAGTTGTGGAAGCCTGTATATAGTGGGCTCTGTTTTTTTCTTAAAGTATTTAATTGTATGTTCTTACATATTTTTTCTATGTTCATCATACCATATCTGTGGCTTTTTTGGTGGAAGTGGGGACAGAGTGCTTTCCACATCTCCATTTTTGTATCTAAATTAAAAGATGTACCAGTATCATTTATCTTAGTGGTGATCAAACACGAAAAAGGGTGCTTTCTGTTTGTTTTTTTGGGAAGGAGTCTCCACTCAGGCTGGAGCACAGTGGCACAATCTTGGTTCACTGCAACCTCTCCCTCCTGTGTTCAAGCTATTCTCTGCATCAGCCTCCCAAGTATCTGGGATTACAGGCATGTGCCACCATGCAACCTAATTTTTGTATTTTGAGTAGAGACAGTGTTTCATTAAGTTGGCCAGGCTGGTCTCAAACTCCTGACCTCAGGTGATCCACCTGCCTTGGCCTCCCAAAGTCCTGGGATTATATATGTGAGCTACTGTGCCAGGCCTGGAAAAAGTTTTTAATGGTAAAGATGTCATGGAATGAATAGGAATGGCTGGCATTATTTCTCGCTGTCAATAAGCAGTAAGAAATGTTTCCGTTATATGTTTCTTTGAAGCCAGCTTTCTGGTTGCTCCCTTATTCCTTCTTTCTCAGGCATATGGTATCTAGAGAGGGTCAGTTCATGGAGTACCTTGATAAAAAGAATTATTGTGCAAGTTGAACAAAACTCAGTGGTATCATGCCTCAAAATCTGATAAAGAGGCACTTTTAAAATAGAGTCTTGAAGCTAACAAACTTTTTTTTACCCCTTTTCTGAAACCTAAAAAGAGGTCTTCAGTTTTGCCCTCCTATCACCAGATGAAAGGGCTGTAGTCATGTTTTCTTATTCCTCAAACAGTGAGGAATCAAAGGACTGAGGGCATTTGTTTTATCATACTACTTATAGGAACCCCTTATCTCCTATACCCAGGAAAAAGAATATTTATTAAATCCCATAATATTCTTTTAGTATCACACTTAGGTTTTAATGTCCTTACTGTTAGATTAAAATAATTTGGGCAAGACCAATCTTTTAAACTGGCAAATAGTTACATCACTTGGTTTAGAATCTCTTTCCCTAGCATCTTGTGTAATGACTCATAAGAAAGAAAAGGCTAGGGGCTGGGCATGGTGGCTCACGTCTGTAAGCCTAGCACTTTGGGAGGCTGAGGTGGGTGGATCATGAGGTCAGGAGTTTGAGACAAGCTTTGCTAGTGTGGTGAAACCCCGTGTCTACTAAAAATACCAAAAATTAGCCAGGCATGGTGGTGTGCACTTGTAGTCCCAGCTACTCTGGAGGCTGAGGCAGGAGAATTATTTGAATCTGGCAGGTGGAGGTTGCAGTGAACTGAGATCACGCCACTGTGCTCCAGACTGGGCGACAGAGTGAGACTTCGTCTCAAAAAAAAAAAAAAAAAAAGAAAGAAAGGCTAAATGCCTTTCTTTCACTATGCCATTCCTACAAAAATGTTAAAATTTATTTTTTGGGGTTTTTTTCTTGAGAGACAGATTCTCTTTGTTGCCCAGGCTGGAGTGCAGGGGTGCAACCTCAGCTCTCTGAAACCTCTGCCTCCAGGGGTTCAAACAATTTTCATTCCTCAGACTCCCAAGTAGCTGGGATTACTTACAGACATGTGCCACCATGCCCAGCTAATTTTTGTATTTTTAGTAGAGATGGAGTTTCACCATGTTGGGCACGCTGGTCTTGAACTCCTGACTTTAGGTGTTCCATCCCCTTGGCTTCCCAAAGTGCTGGGATTACAGGCGTGAGCCGCTGCTCCTGGGCACAAAAAGTAAAAATTTGAAGTTAACTTAAATGCCCCCCAATACAGAAATGGTTAAACACTGATGACCTACTTTATGTACTGTCATGCAAATGCAAATGATAATGGTTGCTGTGCAGCAGCATGGAAAAGCTTGGTGAAAGCATGATAGACCGCATGACTGTGACTCTAAAAATGGGCATGCATGTGAGGAGAGATCAAGGGAATATGCAAAAATGAAGACATGGTTGTATTAGGATGGTAGAATTTTGAGTGGACTTCTCTTCCTGCTATTGGTAAAAATTTTTGTACCTAATTCATTGTGGGTAGCCAGATCTTTTAAAGGTAAATTTGAACTTCTCTTCAAGAAAATGGCAGATGGTGGGATGGGGGATACTAGAAAACGAAAAGTATTGTGGCTTTTGAAGACAAAACTAAAGCATTTTAAGCTTGGAATTGCTTTAGTAGTACACATATTGATTATTTAATTTTGTCCTTTAGAAGAAAGTTGGTCTAGCACAATTATGTGGATATTGGGATATTGAAGAGGATTGGTAAAAGAAGTGAGAGGATCAAAGCCAATGTGCATGTTTATTCTTTTGTACCACCAAATACACCAAATTTTTGGACTGGCTTTACCTTAGTCAATATTTGGTTATTTGTTTTGAAGCTATTTGTTTGCAATAACACCATTAACATCCTCAACAGAGCCAAAGTCTGATCCTGAAATGGTAGAATCTTAACTAATTTTATCTTTTTTATAGAAATTGAACCCTTTGAGGCCATGAAACACTATTTCTTTTCTCTGTACTTCTTGTTTTTGGGTTTTGCTTCACCACCAATTTATGACTACCAAAACCCTACAGATCCCATAATTAACTCACAGCTGCCATCTTGCCACCATAGATAGAATGGGAGCTGGTGGTGAATGGAGAATAGAAAAACTAATAGACCACAAGCTTTTTGGACCACTGTGTTATTGCTGAACAATAACCCAGCCCCTTCACTTTACAGGTAAGTAAACAAGCCCTAGGGACTCAGCAGTGAATCTGTGTCTTAGGACTTCAAATCTAGTGCCCTTTCTGTTGTACTTCAAAGACAGAACAGGAGGGAGAGCAAAGCCAAATTATTGACATTTTAGGAGCTGCTTTTTAAGGAAGGATAGGACATTGGACTTGGTGTCATTATCATGTTAAGTTATAAATTTTTAAAAATGCTACCACCCCAAAACAAAAATAGGTAAAAGATATGAATAGGCAATTCACCAAAAAAGAAATACAATAGACATGAAAGAATACCCAACATAATTAAAGAAATGTAAGTAGCAAATTTCTATTGGTATCTCAAGAGAAAACATTTACCTCTGAGCTTTATTATTCAGACCATTGGCCTCACAGGGCTTCTTGTTGACGATCTACCCTAACTTTAGAAAATGTAATTGTAACAGGAAGAAAATGAATGCAAATGATAAAAGACGAAGTATGACTTGCTCAATAAATTTTATGAAAGTTATGGTAGTTTTAAACCTCTCTTTATTCATTCCCTCCAGTTCTGTCTAGCACCTATAAAGATGAATTATTTCAGGTCGTGTGTGGCATTGATGGACCACTATGCAGAAAGCTGTGAAGGGCTCAAAGCAGTTGAGAATAGGTATCACGACTTAATTTTACCTGCCTTTCCTGCCACACACAACCAGAGAAGCTGGTTCATCTCTGACTGAGGAAATATTTTCATGCTTCTTTAGAAGATTTTGCAGGGTTCTCAGGAAGACAAAGCCAAAGAACAAGAACAGTCAAAGTAGGACCAGGACCAAAAGTCTGAGGTCACACTGGAAGGTGTTGTGCTGAAGGAGGCAGGGATGGGACTTTGAAATGAAGCCAAGTGCATTCCAGTAAAGCCAAGATTAAGGGGACTGAGTGGGTTTTCTGTCGTTGGCAAGCAATGTGCCATATCTTTGAAGGGCTAAGCTAGCCCAGGAGTTCTGATAAGAGCTCTGAACTTAATATTGCTGACACAAAAACAGGCTTTCTCAGATCCTATTTGGAAGTAAACAGGGTAAAAGTTATAAATAGTGTTGCTTTTTAAAGTTGATTATATATTTTAGAGGTGGGTCAGTCAGATCATATAGAGATGCTTCATTCTAACCCTTTGTAGCAAGAATTGGCAAAAATATTCTCTAAAGAGCCGTTTAGTAAATATTTTAGAGTAGGCTGCATAGTCTCTTTTGCAGCTACTCAGCTTCATACAACGTGTAAACAAATAGGTGTGACTGTATTTTAGTAAAACTTTGTTGGACACTAACATTGGAATCTTACACCATTTTTATATGTTTTGACATATTCTTTTGAATTTTTTCTAGCAATTTCAAAATGTAAAAGCATTTTTAGCTTGTGAGGTGTATAAAAATGAGCAGTGGGCCATATTTTGCCTGCAGGCCATATTTTGCTGATCTTTGCTCTATAGCATCACTGCCAGTAGAAATAATGCTAGCCGTGTATTATGGACTAAATGTTTGTAACCCTCAAAATCCATATGTTGAAGCTCAAACCCCTGGTGTCGCAATATTTGGAGATGGGACCTTGAAGGATGTACTTAAGGTTGAATGAAGTCACAAGGATGGGGTCCTGATCTGATAGGATTAGTGTCCTTATAAGAAGAAACACCAGATACACTCATTGAGGAAATGCAGAACGTTGTAACTTTGCTGGTTTGGAAACCATAATACTGGCAGGCTTGCTGGTCTTCATTTTTCTTATTTTGAATGTCTTCTTTCAAGTATTTTATGTATCCAGACCCAATTTTTATAAGGAAATTTCTTTTGAATGGTTAGGTGAAGTCTTTAATTGTGAAGTTGGCTTAAACCATTAAGTAGTATAAATGGGGACATTCATCTTAGAAATTAACTTGAAATGTAGACTAGAAATATAAAAAATGTGGTCATGACTAATGCCTGTATCCATTTCCCAAAAAAGGGATTTGTACATGTCCTCACATTGCAGAACTACATTGACAGTCAGGGAAACATGCTGACATCATTCTTCCAACATCCTTAGTTTGGGTTTCATGAAGCATTTTTCCCATTTCTCCTTTTTCTCAGAGAAATGTAATCCTTTCTCAGATTCTTGGAAAAATGATTAAGACTTTTTCTTGGGGGTATATTTATAATAATAGGCATATATCTAGTCTGAAAAGTGATCATCAACATTGTTTTACTTAAAAAAACCTTGCATCAGCATTGTTTAAAAATATATATAAGTATGCAAAAAAGTATGCTACAATCAGAGGTACTTATTAGAGTTGTCAAATGGCAATTCTTCATGTCATTTTTAGAAATTTAACTTAGATTGTATAGACTAGTTCAGGCTTAGATAACTATGGAAGCCTTTGCACTTTCAAATATGCTTTTTTATAGTTAAGTTTCTATACAACATACATTTTATAACCAAAATGGAAGTGAAATGCCAAAATGGCAGTAGATTCTGTTAATGTGTGCATCCCTCCATTCCAGAATTCCAAAAAAAATCAGACATAATGACTTTCATTTGTATTTTATATTATTAGATTTATCGATATAAAATTGCTCTTTTAAACTGCTCTTTCTAAACACTCTTTGTTTCTTTAGTTATCTTGTGAACTGCTAATAGTTTGCAGACTGGTACCCATCCATGAACTACATTAAGCATTGGTCTAGATGACTTTCACTTATACCACGAGCCAGAAGAATACTGTAGATTATTTGGCTGTTTTTTAAAAAGAGAATGAACATCATGTCATAGTATTGGTTATTAATATTTGAGCAAGATATTAGGGTTGTCTCAATGTCTCAATCATTGCAGAGTGGTGTGTGTGTGTGTGTGTTTAAGAATTGATTTGGAAACAGTTATCTTAAGGTGTTAGGATTATTTTTATTCTTTAGTACTTATGGTATAAACTGAACCCCACTGAAATAGAGCTTATTTTGATATATAATTTTTCAAGTTATTTTTTATAAGTCTGTGGATAGATAGCAGTCAAGTAGGAACTTTATTTCCCTAATAGAAAAAATATATATAAAGCATTTTTGTCAAATATTTCTGTTGCATTTATTCATTCAAAGTGTATTTAGAATGTTTATTTCCAGGAAATTTTGGAATATATAATACAACCTGTTTCTTATGACTCCACTTTAAGTGAGCCATAGGTCACATAATGATCAGCAAAATATAAGTACACATTTGCCTCTCACTCCCTGCTGGAGAAATTGAGGCAGTCTAGTAACCCTGTAGGCCTGGATTAGTCCAGTTCATTGGCACCAGCGTTATCAAGATTTTATTGTGGTCAGCCACGGTGGCTCACGCCTGTAATCCCAGCACTTTGGGAGGCTGAGTTGAGCCAAGCACTTGAGCCCAGGAGTTCAAAACCAGCCTGGACAACATAGCAAAACCCTGTCTCTACAAAATATATAAAATTAACTGGGCATGGTGGCATGTGCCTGTAGTCCCAGCTACTTGGGATGCTGAGACAAGAGGATCACTTGAGCCCAGGAGGTTGAGGCTATGGTGAGCTGTGATTGTGCCACTGCACCCCAGCTTTGGTGATACAGTGAGACCCTGTCTCAAACAAACAAAAAAGATTATATTGTGTTTTGAAATACATAGTTTTTAGAGAAATTCTGTGTTATTCTTTTATTTCCATTTACAGCTTGGTTTAAAGAAACTTTATGGAAAGCTACAGACTAACCTCCCTTTCCTTTGATTTTTTTCCATGTTATAGCAGAGAACCAGCCAGGGCCAGATTCCTGGGCATGTGACCTCTACAGTAGAGAAGGGCTTTTCTCAGAAAGGTCTCATAATTAGTGCTCTGTCAGTGTCTTGAATATTCTTAATAATTTTATATTTAGTCTTGCTTTGTAAGCTAAGCCCAGTGGGCCAATGGAGGCAGTTCTAGGGGTTTGGGTTTGGCTCATGTGAGGTACCTCCTCCTTACCTCCCCAGGATGGGCGTTGGTAGCTGGCTTCCTGTACCCTTGTACCCCAGGCTTTTCTCGACCCCCACCCCATGTTCACTGTTGCCTTCACCTGGGGTGACAACTGGATCACGTGGGAGAGGAGGAAACCTGTGTTCTGCTGTCACCCTCCTTCACCTCTTCCTGGATCCTGGGTACAAGCTCAGGGCGGGTTGGGATCAGTTGTCTGTGGCTCACAGTGTTGGGGGAAGTGATGGTGGTCATTTTATCCCAGGCTGGCAGCATGCTGGTATATTGATGGGCAGCTGCTGGAATAATGGTTTGTCCTGGACCTGGACCTGACTCTGTATCTTGGCTTTAATCTAGTCCACTTCTCAGCATTCCTTGGAAGCCCACCTAAACTGCAGAGACGAAGAAGAATATGCTTAGAGATTTTAAAGATGGAACCCAGTATGCTGACTATCAATTGGAAAGGAGTTCAGATTCTGGATGGGTTAAGTCACTGATTTTCCAGGCAAGTGGAACTTTAATGCCTGTTGGACCTGCTAGCGCTGTTTCTCCACTGTGGGCTGGCTGGGGAGGAACACTTGCCTTTAAAGAACTCCGTGCTCTTTAAAGCTTCCAGAGCACAATTGAGATCCTTGAGGTACAGTTCTTCCATGCAGACCTAGCACCTGCTTTAGGTAAGGGCTCTTGTACTGAGTTCTTACTGGATTTTTATCATGTTTAGTGCAGCTTCCTGCTTCTTCAAAGAGAACTGGTGGGTTCTGTTTTAGGCTTTTCTGTTTTGGTGGGGGGGGGGGCGTGCCAAACCATATTAACAAGGGGAGTGGGGTTGATAAAGCGGTGGTGAAGAAGATGAAATGCAACGTCCTCGGCCAGACCAGGAGCTCACCTCCCAGGCCCTGCCGTGCAGGTGCTGAAAACTGTTTTAGGCTTTTCTGCATGGTTGAAGTTTACTCTTAGTGGCTGACCGTCATCCACCCTCTTGACAGGGGTACTGACAATAATCACTGTTGGTATTTTATTTACTGCAAGTTCTTCATCATTACCGAGACTCATTTCATTTGGAAAATAAACACTGCCTCATCTGTTCATGGTATATTTTTATACTTGCCTTTCACTCACATGTTGCATATTAACTTGCCTTCTGAAAAGATCAACATGATCTTGGAGCCTAATGTGATCTGGATCTTATTACCATGTATGATTTTTATCATCAGGTGCTGCTTTGGGCTCTGGCCCATTTTTCCCACCTGTCATCATCCTATCAGGTTGATCTCTGCCTGGTTCCATAGTAACTTGGCTTTTGGAGTTTTATTTTTTCTCTAACCCACCCTTCCCTTCCCTGTCAGATATAATTGTCTCATGAGCAACTGTGCCTGATAATCCCAATGTATAGGCCAAAGCCCAGGTTGTTTTAATGCTTGCAAGGAAGTCTCTTCAGACTACTACAGGGTAAAAGAATCTGTTCCCTTTCAACCTCTCATTGCTTACTGAATCAATTATTTATTTACTTGTGTAATTCACATCCATGCTCAGATATGTGTTTGGTTTTCCTCTGAGACTGTGGCTCCCTCTACACAAGGGTCTTTGTCTGGTATTAGTCTACTTCTTCAGTGTCTAATTTCATGAAGCAGAATCAGGGCAAGACCTACTGGCTGAGACTTGCTACTGCCTCATTTATTTGGTTTACTGTTTAAGTCCTTCAGCCAGGAAATGATAGTAATATTTGCCTGATTCTTTTACATTCCAATAGATGGATAACCAGGAACAGTTCCTAAATATTCTGATGTAGGTATAAGGGGCAATCGGAGCCTGAATCTGAGCCCCTTGGCAGGGATGGTTTCCCTGGGTTACTGGATTTGAGTCTTTGTCCTCCTTCATACTAACTTCTGTGACCCTTGGCTCAAGGAGTCCTTTCTTACCTAAATACCCTCCTGAAGAAAGTGCTGATATTCATCAGAAAAAAAATGTAGGGTTTGTGTTTTGTTACCACCAGGGAGACACTGACCTTAATCCTCTCCCCTCTTCTTTTCCTTAAAAAATTTTTAAAAAAATATTTTATTGCACTTTAGGTACTGGGGTACATGTGAAGAACATGCAGGATTGTTGCATAGGTACATACATGGCAATGCAGCAAACCTTTTAAAATTTTCAAGAATCCTCAGAATTGAGGGTCAGTACTGGATCAGAAGGGACAGAAAAGTCAGCCAGTCAAAGGTGAGAAAGGGGCCTTGGGTTCCAGTGTTCTACTTCAGAGGGCTTGAGAGCCACATTAAGAGCAAACCAAATACTCTGAGGTGCTGAGAAAAAATTGCTCTAAATCCAGGATGATTTCATCATATGACATGAGATGAAGGAGTTCGTGATTAGTAATAGGCTTTTTGATTGGCAGGAAGTAAGTAAACTGTAGGTAATAGGATTGGCCATAGAAATATAGGAAACTCTATGCTTTCAAATCCTGTGAAGTTAGGACTGAACCAAATTATTTGGGGTTCATTGGTGGCTAAGAAATTAACTTTTTTACTTATAGTTAGAAAAAAATTTTAAAGAATTTTTATTAATTCTTCCCCAGAATAGTAATTTTTAAAAATTTTATTTATTTTTAATGTTTGGGAAACTTTATATTTTTCTTTTTTTAAATTATACTTTAAGTTTTGGGGTACATGTACAAAATGTGCAGATTTGTTACATAGGTATACACGTGCCATGGTGGTTTGCTGCATCCATTCCCCGTCAACTACATTAGGTACTTCTCCTAATGCTATCCCTCCCCTATCCCCCCACCCTCTGCTGTCCTGCCCCTGACCCCCCACCCCCTGCTATGCCTCCACTAGCCTCCCACCCCCAACAGGCCCTGGTGTGTGATGTTCTCCTCCCTGTGTTGATGTGTTCTCATTGTTAAATGCCCACTTATAAGTGAGAACATGTGGTGTTTGGTTTTCTGTTCTTGTTTCAGTTTGCTGAGAATGATGGTTTCCAGCATTATCCATGTCCCTGCAAAGGACATGAACTCATTCATTTTTATGGCTCCATAGCATTCCATGGTGTATATGTACCACATTTTCTTTATCCAGTCTATCACTGATGGGCATTTGGGTTGGTTCCAAGTCTTTCCTATTGTGAACAGTGCCACAATAAACATAACATGTGCATGTGTCTTTATAATGGAATGATTTATAGTCCTTTGGGTATATACCCAGTAATGGGATTGCTGGGTCAAATAGAATTTTTATTTCTAGATCCTTGAGGAATCACCACACTGTCTTCCACAATGGTTGAATTAATTTACACTCCTACCAACAGTGTAAAAGCATTCTTATTTCTCCACATCCTCTCCAGCATCTGTTGTCTCCTGATTTTTTAATGATCGACATTCTAACTGGTGTGAGATGGAGTCTTGCTCTGTTGCTCAGACTGGAGTCCAGTGGTACAATCGTGGTCACAGATCACTGCAGCCTTGACCTCCCAGGTCAAGAGACTGTCCCACCTCAGCCTCTTGAGTAGCTAGGACTACAGGCATGTACCATCCCATCCAGCTAATTTTTGTATTTTTTGTAGAGATGAGGCCTGGGCTCAGGCCTCAGCTGCTAGTATTACAGGTGTGAGTATTACCATGCCCAGCCAGAGTGATTTTCCTTTGCTGAATTCTTAAAACTTTATTCTGGCTTAGGTAATTGAGTAGGAATGGCAGAGAGTATTTTAAGTTTAATCTTTAGCATTACATAAAAGCAAATCTCTACAAACATGAAGTAGAAAATGTTCTTTACAGACTTTCTATAGGAAAAATAAATGTTTATAGAGTCTGCTTATCAACTGTTTGTTCTTCCTACCTCTGCAGTTTCATCCATTGATAACTGTCAGAGTTCAAGTTCAGTTCATTGTACAGTTTCTGGGAATTTTCCTTACTGTTAATTAGTAAGACTTTGAATCATTAAATGCTGATGCCTACATGGCACAATTCATTAAAGACAGTCATACTTTAACCTTCATACAGTTTTATGGGAAGGTGAACTACAACTAGGAAAGTATCTTATTAAAGTATTTTGCATTTTACTAACAAATTTATTTAAACCCTGAATTAGTCTTTATTTTTGTTTCCAAATTCTCAGTAACATCTCAGTAGATCTGTGAATTCTGCCAAAAGATGTATTTTAATCTGGGGGGGACTCAAGATGGCGCTGTGAGAACAACCCAGGATTGAAGCTCTCAGTGAATGCACAGAGAGGGTGAGTCAGGGCTGCATCTCCAGACGGATCTTTGTTGCCCACAGAACGGGGAAATTCCCAGGTATAAAAGAGACATGGGATGCCAGGCAGAGGTATTGGCTGGTGCAGCCGGCAGCCAGTGCAGCCGGTGGCTGGCGCTGTAGTGCAGCGGTGCTACACAGCACTCTGCACAAAGCGCACTGGTCCAGGTGCCCTGTTGAACCGGCAATCTGAGACTTGAGAGGGCTGAACGTGAGACTGAACGGGGCTTGGACAGTGAGCCAGGCCAGGAGATTCCAGGCAAACAGCGTTTGGGGTAGCACAGTGGGACAAACGAAATGCCGATTCCAAACGCTCCAGGTGGAGAGGTTCCCTGCGGGCACAGCTGAACCCAGGATGGTGCAGCTCCGTGGGGGAGGGGCGTCCGCCATTACCGAGGCAATCCGCCCCTACTGAGGTACACGCCCATTGCTGACGCAGCCTGCCGTTGCCGAGGCAACCCACTACAACAGAGAGACTCTGCCACAGGGCATAGCCTGTGGCAGCAGGGTGGAGACCGCAGCAGCAGGGCAGAGCCTGCAGCAACAGGGCGAACCTCACACTAGCAGGGCAGAGCCTCGGCAGGCAAATAGTGACTAGACAGCCTCCTAGCTGGGCAGGACAGCCCAACGGACACTCACAAAGAAAGTCCCAACCCCCCTGAGACAGAGCATCTGAGAAAAAAAGGTTTTTTTTAATGAGTTCTGCTGCAGCAGAATTAAATGTAGCAGCCTAACAGCCCTGAATGAACAACAGAGCTCACAGCTCAGCACTTGAGCTCCTATAAAGTACAGACTGTCTCCTCAAGCAGCTCCCTGACCCCTCTATATCCAAAAGACTGACATTTGGCAGCCATCATTCTGGGACAAAGATAGCAGAAAAAGAAACTGGTAGCATCCCTCACTGTTCTGCAGCTGCTGTAGGTGCACCCTAGACAAGCAGGGCCTGGAGTGGACCTCAGCAGTCGTACAGTGGAGGGGCTAGACTGGTAGAAGGAAAACCAAGTAACAGAAATACTTCATCATCAACAATATGGGTGTCCACTCAGAGACCCAATCAAAAAGTCAGCAACTACACAGACGACAGGTGGATAAATCCACAAAGATGGGAAGAAACGAGCGCAAAAAGGAGGAAAACGCCCAAAACCAGAACACCTCACCTCCTAGAAAGGACCAAAACTCCTCACCAGCAAGGGAACAAAGCTGGACGGAAAATGACTGTGACAAAATGACGAAATTAGACTTCAGAAGGTGGATAATGAGAAACTTTTGTGAGCTAAAAGAACATGTTTTAAATCAATGCAAAGGAACTAAGAACCTTGAAAAAAGATATGAAAAAAGATTTCAGGAAATGATAACAAGAATGGATAACTTAGAGAGGAATATGAATGAATTAAAGGAGCTGAAAAACACAATATGAGAACTTCGCGAAGCATGCACAAGTTTCAATAGCCGAATTGAACAAACAGAAGAAAGAATATCAGAAGTCGAAGATCAACTCAATGAAATAAAACGAGAAACCAAGATCAGAGAAAAAACTGCAAAAAGGAATGAACAAAGTCTCCAAGAAATGTGGGACTATGTGAAGAGACCTAACCTAACCTACATTTGATAGGCGTACCAGAATGTGACGAAGAGAATGAATCCAAGCTGGAAAATACTCTTCAGGACATAATCCAGGAAAATTTCCCCCACCTAGCAAGACAGGCCAACACTCAAATACAGGAAATACAGAGAACACCACAAAGATATTCCGCAAGAAGAGCAACCCAAAGGCACATAATCATCAGATTCAACAAGGTTGAAATAAAGGAGAAAATACTAAGTAAGGGCAGCCAGAGAGAAAGGTCGGGTCACCCACAAAGGGAAGCCCATCAGACTCACAGCAGATCTCTCGGCAGAGACACTACAAGCCAGAAGAGAGTGGGGGCCAATATTCACCATCCTTAAAGAAAAGAACTTTCAACCCAGAATTTCATATCCAGCCAAACTGAGCTTCAGAAGTGAAGGAAAAATAAAATCCTTTGCGAACAAGCAAGTACTCAGAGATTTTGTCACCACCAGGCCTGCTTTACAAGAGCTCCTAAAAGAGGCACTACACATAGAAAGGAACAACCAGTACCAGCCATTCCAAAATCACACTAAAAGTTAAAGAGCATCAACATAATGAAGATTCTACAACAACTAACAGGCAAAACAGCCACTTAGCATCAAAATGGCAGTATCAAATTCACACATAACGATATTAACCCTAAATGTAAATGGACTAAATGCAGCAATCAAAAGACACAGACTGGCAAATTGGATAAAAATCCAAAGCCCATCAGTGTGCTGTATCCAGGAAACCCATCTCACATGCAAGGATACACAAGGGCTCAAAATAAAGGGATGGAGGAAGATTTACCAAGCAAATGGAGAGCAAAAAAAGCAGGAGTTGCAATTCTCATCTCTGATAAAATAGACTTTAAAGCAACAAAGATCAAAAGAGACAACGAAGGCCATTACATAATGGTAAAAGGATCGATACAACAAGAAGAGCTAACGATCCTAAACATATATGGACCCAATACAGGAGCACCCAGATACATAAGGCAAGTTCTTAATGACTTACAAAGAGACTTAGACTCCCACACAATAATAGTGGGAGACTTTAACACTCCACTGTCAATATTAGACAGATCAACCAGACAGAAAATCAACCAGGATATCCAGGGCTTGAACTCAGACCTGGAACAAGCAAACCTGATAGACATTTACAGAACTCTCCACCCCAAATCCACAGAATATACATTCTTCTCAGCACCACATCACACCTACTCTGAAATTGACCACATAATTGGAAGTAAAGCACTCCTCAGCAAATGCAAAACAACTGAAACCATAACAAACAGTCTCTCAGACCATAGTGCAATCAAGTTATAACTCAGAATTCAGAAACCAACTCAGAACCGCACAGCTTCATGGAAACTGAACAACTGGCTCTTGAATGTTGACTGGATAAACAATGAAATGAAGGCAGAAATAAAGAAGTTCTTCGAAACCAATGAGAACGAAGACACAACATGCCAGAATCTCTGGGACACATTTAAAGCAGTCTCTAGAGGAAAATACATAGCAATAAGTGCCCATATGAGGAGAATGGAGAGATCCAAAATTGACACCCTATCATCAAAATTGAAAGAGCTAGAGGAGCAAGATCAAAAAAACTCAAAACCCAGCAGAAGACAAGAAATAACTAAGATCAGAGCTGAACTGAAGGAGATAGAGACACGAAAAACCCTCCAAAAAAATCAATAAATCCAAGAGCTGGTTTTTTGAAAAGATCAACAACATAGACAGACCACTAGCCAGACTGATTAAAAAGAAAAAAGAGAACAACCAAATAGATGCAATAAAAAATGATAAAGGGGAAATCACCACAGATTCCACAGAAATTCAAACCATCATCAGAGAATATTACAAACAACTCTATGTACATAAACTAGTAAACCTGGAAGAAATGGATAAATTCCTGGACTCCTGTGTCCTCCCAAGCCTAAACCAGGAGGAAGCTGAAACTATGAATAGACCAATAACAAGGTCTGAAGTTAAGGCAGCAATTAAGAGCCTACCACACAAAAAAAGCCCAGGTCCAGATGGGTTCACAGCCAAATTCTACCAGACACACAAAGAGGAGCTGGTACCATTCCTTCTAAAACTATTCCAAATAATCCAAAAACAGGGAATCCTTCCCAAATCATTTTATGAGACCAATATCATCCTGATACCAAAACCCGGCAGAGACCCAACAAGAAAAGAAAACTTCAGGCCAATATCCATGATGAACATAGATGCAAAAATCTTCAATAAAATATTGGCAAGCCGATTGCAACAGCAAATCAAAAAACTTATCCATCATGATCAAGTAGGATTCATCCCGGGGATGCAAGGCTGGTTCAACATACGCAAGTCTATCAACGTAATTCATCATATAAACAGAACCAAAAACAAAAACCACATGATTATCTCAATTGACGCAGAGAAGGCATTCGACAAAATTCAACAGCCCTTTATGCTAAAAACCCTCAATAAACTCGGTATCGATGGAACGTATCTCCAAGTAATAAAAGCTATTTATGACAAACCAACAGCCAATATCATACTGAATGGGCAAAAACTGGAAGCATTCCCTTTGAAATTCGGCACTAGCCAAGGATGTCCTCTCTCACCACTCCTATTCAATATAGTACTGGAAGTTCTAGCCAGAGCAATCAGGCAAGAAAAAGAAATAAAGGGTATTCAAATAGAAAAGGTGGAAGCCAAATTGTCTCTATTTGCAGATGACATGATAGTATACCTAGACGACCCCATCGCCTCAGCCCAAAAACTCCTGAAACTGATAAGCAACTTCAGCAAAGTCTCAGGATATAAAATCAATGTGCAAAAATCACAAGCATTCGTCTACACCAATAACAGACTTAAAGAAAGCCAAATCAAGAATGAACTGCCATTCACAATTGCTACAAAAAGAATAAAATACCTAGGAATACAACTCACAAGGAACGTAAGGGACATCTTCAAGGAGAACTACAAACCACTGCTCAACGAAATCAGAGAGGACACAAACAGAGGGAGAAACATTCCATGTTCATGGTTAGGAAGAATTAATATCGTGAAAATGGCTATACTGCCCAAAGTAATTTACAGAATCAATGCTATCCCCATCAAGCTACCATTGACTTTCTTCACAGAACTGGAAAAAACCACCATGAACTTCATATGGAGTCAAAAGAGAGCCCGCATAGTCAAGTCGATTCTAAGCAAAAAGAACACAGCGGGGGCATCACACTACCAGATTTCAAACTATACTACAAGGCTACAGTAATCAAAACAGCATGGTACTGGTACCAAAACAGAGATATAGACCAATAGAACAAAACAGAGGCATCGGAGGCAACACAACATATCTACAACTATACAATCTTTGATAAACCTGACAAAAACAAGCAATGGGGAAAGGATTTCCTGTTTAACAAATGGTGTTGGGAAAACTGGCCAGCCATGTGTAGAAAGCAGAAACTGAACCCCTTCCTGACACCTTACACTACAATTAACTCCAGATAGATTAAAGACTTAAACATAAGACCTCACACCATAAAAACCCTAGAAGGAAATCTAGGCAAAACCATCCAGGACATAGGAATAGGCAAGGACTTCATGAACAAAACACCAAAAGCATTGGCAACAAAAGCCAAAATAGACAAATGGGACCTAATGAAACTCCACAACTTCTGCATGGCAAAAGAAACAGTCACTAGAGTGAATTGGCAATCAACAGAATGGGAAAAAATTTTTGCAGTTTACCCATCTGACACAGGGCTGATATCCAGAATTTACAAAGAACTCAAAGAGATTCACAGGAAAAAAACAAACAAGCCCATTCAAAAATGGGCAAAGGATATGAACAGACACTTTATGAAAGAAGACATATATGAGGCCAACAATCATATGAAAAAATGCTCATCATCACTGGTCATCAGAGAGATGCAAATCAAAACCACATTGAGATACCATCTCACGCCAGTTAGCATGGCGATCATTAAAAAATCTGGAGACGACAGATGCTGGAGAGGATGTGGAGAAAAAGGAACACTTTTACACTGTTGGTGGGAGTGTAAATTAGTTCAACCATTGTGGAAGACAGTGTGGCGATTCCTCAAGGCCTTAGAAATAGAAATTCCATTTGACCCAGCAATCCCATTACTGGGTATATATCCAAAAGACTATAAATCGTTCTACTATAAGGACAGATGTACACGAATGTTCATTGCAGCACTGTTTACAATAGCAAAGACCTGGAATCAACCCAAATGCCCATTGATGATAGACTGGATTGGGAAAATGTGGCACATATACACCATGGAATATTATACAGCAATGAGAAATGATGAGTTTGTGTCGTTTGTAGGGACATGGATGAATCTGGAGAACATCATTCTCAGCAATCTGACACAAGAACAGAAAATGAAATACTGCATATTCTCACTCATAGGCGGGTGATGAAAAATGAGAACACATGGACACAGGGAGGGGAGTACTAAACACTGGGGTCTATTGGGGGGAAAAGGGGAGGGCCAGTGGGAGGGGGAGCTGGGGGGGGGATAGCCTGGGGAGAAATGCCAAATGTGGGTGAAGGGGAGAAAGGAAGCAAAACACACTGCCATGTGTGTACCTATTCAACTGTCTTGCATGTTCTGCACATGTACCCCAAAACCTAAAATGCAATAAAAAATTTTTTAAAAAAAGATGTATTTTAATCCAAAGATCTTTCTGCATCTATAATTTACCACACCAAAGTTCACATTATCATTAAAAGCAGCATTATCATTAAATTATAGACACATTACTTCATCTCCAGGGCTAATGGGAGTGGTTTTGGGTAAACCTTTGTAGAAACAATAGTATGTTTTTATAAATGCATATGGGTGTGGAGTGGTTATCACTTACCTTCTTGTGAAATTTCTGGAAAGATGTGTTCTGGAAAACCAGGACACATTTATGGTAAGATGTTATGGTTAAGGCTCATTGAAAAACTCTCATTTAATGAGTTCCCCAAACCCTGTTCTACCTGCATCTTATCAAACTGCCCCTGAAATTCCTTTGCCTCTGTTAAATTTTTCTAGACAGTCTGAATAGGGGCATGTAATTTTTTTGATTTTTCTGTGGTTAAACAAATATCTTTTACAACTCTCTTTGTTCTTGAATATCAGTAAGAGCTTATATTTATACTGTATTTTGCTGTTAGAGTTTCTTTTAGTTGCTATATAAAAAATTTAAAGTCTGTTTACTGCCTTATACCTTCTGGTATATTTTTATATGAAGTAACACCCTTAATTCTAGCTTGGCCAACAGGTAGATGGTATTATTATCCTCATTGTACAGATGAGGAAACTGAGGCTCAGATTGACTGGATCAAACAGAAGGTATCTGGAAAACCTAGGACGCAAGCTTAATCTTTGGACTCAACTTCATGTTTCTTTTACTACTCTACACTGAATTACAGTTATTTACTGATTTCTATTATAAATTCTTAGAGAAGACAGACATAGGAATTAGTAACTTGACTCAGTAGTGGCTTTGTTCAAACACCGGCACGTGCATATTTTGTGGCATATGTTTATATGTATGTAATATTTATCATAGATGTCAGATTTATTATTGATAGTGCCCTATTTCTAGATTTATAGTTGAAACCTCTAACTGCTTCAGTAGGAATTGTCTTAAAGTCCTAGAATAATATTAAGATTTTGAAGACTGCTCAAAACAGTGTTCCAGGCTGGGTATTACCTTAGTTTTTTCCATGTAATGAATGAGGAGCCAGTGGGACTGGCGTTTGGTTGTAAAGAAGAGGTTGAGTTCACCAGGAGGTGTTTCTTGGTATTTATGGGTCCTTTTTTTCACATGAATCCCTTGGTTCACTTCTTGTATTTCATGTTTATACAGTTGCAGCTGAATGGTAAGTACATAGAAATATGCATTGACTAATGTCGAAATGTATCTAGGAGCGTCATATTCATGCTCCTACTGATCCCTGTGCCCTGGATGAAGTGTGAGATTAAAGAACTTTATTGCTTACCACATTTCTTTTTCATACAGTTAGAGTCATGTGAGGCAGTCCGTGACTGTTTTAGGATGTTATAATATATCCGTATAGCATTTCAATTTGTTTTTATGTTTGTCCTCACTATAAGCCTGTCAAGTCTAGTGAGATGACATGGTTATTAATATATTACAAATGGAGAAATCTGACTTGGAGGTAGTATAGCACTGTGGTTAAGAATAGAAGTTCTTGTATTTTTATATGAATTATGTATTATGAATCAGACCAGAATACCAGCTCTACTGATTACTAGCTGAGTGATCTTGCAGCAACTTAATCTCTCAAAGCCTTGGTTTTCTCCTTGTAAAATGAAGGACCTTGTAGATTGTTGGGTAGCTTAACTGAAATAATGGGTAGAATAAAAAGTATTTAGAACAGTGGAGGCATATAGTAGGCAATCAATAAATATTGATAGTATTATTTTCAGAGATTATTACTCATTTAACTCAACAAAAATCGAGAGCCCTTTTTATATGCTAGTCAGTTTGCAAACCTGACAGGGTGCTTACTCTGATGGAATTTACATTTTAGTGGTAGAAATGGTAAATGAGTCAACAAGAATTTTATAGAGTGACAAGGACTTTGAGGAAAGTCAAACCGGACAATGCTTGAGAAGGGTGCAAGTTGGGAAGTCCTATCACACGAAGTGGCATTTGATCTGAGACCTGAGCGACCATAGCCACATGAAGACTTCGGGGAATCACTTTCCAGGAGGAAACAGAAGCACAGTAGCCAAGAGGCAGAATGACAGGTGGCACATTTTATTAGTACAATGGAGAGGTAGAGGGGCTGGATTGTGTAGGTTTGTAGCCCAGGGTAAAGAGCTTGGATTTCTTGTTTAAGTGTGGGATTTTGAGCAGGGGAGTGATGTATCTTATTTTGGGCAGGTGCTAGGCCAGGTACTGTGGAGGAAATAAAGGTACAGAAGAAATATGTCTTTTTTGCTAGAATCTTATGTGTCATTCAACTGCAGTGTTCCTGCTGGTGTACTCCTAATCTGATCATTGGATGATATTTATCATGTATTCTTGCAGCAGTCATCTCTGAAGTGGCATTATGGTTCTTGTTATCTATCAATGAATCTGTTTGCTCTAACAGCCTGAAGGGGCATGAAGGGTGGAGACAGAGTAGAGGGAAAGGGGTGAAGAGGCTGTTTCTGAACACTGGACACAAAATAGATTAAGAAGTAGGGGGAGTGGGGAAAAAGCAAAATCCTGTTGTACACGGAGAGGGACCCTGTTGAAACTGTGGCTTCTTCAGATTACATGAGTGAACCTGTGTGGACTGGGTCATGTCTTCCCTATTCACCAAGCTGAATCCAGGCAGTGCCACCCAAGATACTGCTGCCTTTGCTCTGAGGCTTCAGACTGTTAGTAGCTTTTCTCATCTCCACTGAGGCCAAAAGGGGCAGTGATACCCTTGAGTTTTTTCTTAAAAACAGTGTTTCATTTCCTTGTAAGTTTGTTTCTTTGCATCATTCTGTCAGTTTATTATCATCAATTGGTTAGCATTCTAATAATAATTATAACTGTAGCAAACATCTATTGAGTGCTTACGAAGAGCCAGTTCCGAGCTGTTTTATCTCCATTATTCTGCTACTCTCTTTCCCATTTTACCAATGAGGAAAATGAGGCACAGAGTGGTCAATTAATTTGTTTGAGTTCCTGCAGCAGATCAGTGATACTAGGGTTCAAACCCACTCTTAACTCTACACTAGGGACTGTTTTGTTAATTGTTTCTTCACAATCATATGTTTAATAATTACTTATTGGTTATTTAGTGGTCTGATAAGAAGAGGGAGTGGTGCTCGCCCATTGGAGAAGAAAGACTGGCTGATCAAGATACACTGGTCGATTTGAAGAAAAAATATAGATGTTAATTTTGTAACACCACACTCTAGTTCCACCTGTGTGCCATCGAAATCAAATGCATTAAGGAAGGCTATTCTTTGTGGAGAGAACAAATAACCTCTGTGTTAAAAAGAGTGTGTTGTTCCTTATGGAAGACAAAACGGGGCTTGCCAGTGGCAGGTTATGATGATTACCTCAGTGACTTTTTATTGCACAGACTATAATAATAATTATAAAAATGTGTAAATCAATAAAAATCTTTACCCCCAACAAATTGTTTTTATTTTTTCATATTTACTTTCAGTTCTTATATGTGTATTAGTTGTACATAGTTATAGCGTATCTACTTATTTTTCACTTAACATTGCACTGTAACAGGTTTTAAAGTTAAGCAATAAGTCTTTTCAGTGAAAAGGAAAAGACTGAAATATGAAAAGGTTACGAGGCATTACTAATTGATTGGGATGATGCCTACCAGGCAGCCCACGTCAGTTTTGGAGCTGGCCTTGGAAGGAACAGCTGTGTGTTTGGACCTTGGAGCAGTCTGTCAGGCTTCCAAGAAAGTGGGCAAAGAATGGGTGGGGGTTGGGGGGACAAGTGGAAAAATACAGTGATTTGGAGCTGATGTGAAACTATCAAGCTGGTTGAGTTCAGTGTTAGAAAATAGGAAAAACAAAACAATCTCTATCTGATATTGTACTTCAATTGAGGTTAGAGCTTTAGTGACTAGGCAATGTGTTATAATTTGTCAGAATTACCAATATTTTGTTCTTGTCAGTGGCCTTATATTTAATAGTTACATGTTATAAAACCAGTTTATCAGTTAAAGAACAAAGTTCTTGACAAATGCTATTTTAGTGATAAAGCTGTTATTCTGTATTTAAATTCAGTTTAACTCAAAGTGGTTTTTATGTTTTACATTTGTATAACTATAGACTAGCCATATGGCATTCAAAGGCCTCCAAGATATAACTCCAGCCACCCTTAGGATGGAATCCCATATTCAGAATCTTTTCTGACAGCTCCCCCACGAAATTGCCTTTTTTCTCTTGGGCCTCTGGATGTGACAAGGGAAAACTTGAGTGAAAGGCCACAGGACAAAGTAGAGACGTTGTTAAATCTCAGTGCAGAAGGCCTGAGACAATTGTTTCTTTTTTCTTCCTCATAAAATAAGTAAAATTTAAACTGATTTTTTTTTTTTTTTTTTTTTTTTTTGCTTTGACACATTGTATTCAATCTGATTGAGGTCATCTTACATAGCAAAGTCTGAAATCCCGAGAAAATAATTTACACAACTAGAATTCCAAAATTGGGTTTTGTCTTAAGTTCAAGCTATCACATTTCTTTAAGAAAACCTACACTGGAGTTATGAACTGGAATATTTGGTTATGAGACACAATCATGTCAGAGTATGTAGTTTCCTTCTTAACACTTATTTGTATGCTTTTAAGACCTGCTCCCGCCACACTTTATCATAAAACACAGGAGACAAATGTGAATACTGCAGCATGTATAGTCATGGGGAATGTGTTCTAAACTAAATGCTGCCACAGTGGCATCAATACAATATTTCTAAGGGAGAAGTTCTTCCTGTTAAACTCATGTGAAGGCATTCTTCTCTACTATAGCAACTTGTTTATGTAGCTTCTAGAAGACAGCTGAGATAGTCTTCAGTGAATCTGTTCACTGACATGTTGCTAGTTCCTTTGTGTTTACATGGAAACAGTGTTTAGAAGCATCTTTCCCCAAGCTGTTCTTTTTTTGATGGGCTCTACCTTTTTGTGGGAGTATCAGTTGAATGAGCACTGTTGTACTCTCAACACTAGACATCCTGCTGTGTGTGTGTGTGTGTGTGTGGAGCTGCCCTGTGGCTTGGTAGCATTACCTCTGCATTACCTGCTTCAGCCTCACCAGCCAGAAGGGCCATTCACTTCTGCTGCTACTTACCTTTGTTTCCTTTGTACCTTTGTTTCCTGGAGCATGTACCCTCCCACCACCTGGGCCTTGGACCTGGGTCCATTGAGCTATTATCCATGCTCCCGTCTGTCCATCTCTGCTCTGATAGAATCTACTAGGATAATAAAGTAGCTTTTCCTCACCAGGATGTTTTTTTAAATAGACATACAGCAATGTATAATGGTTAAGAGCATGATCCAAACTGTGTCTGATTTTGAATCCTGGCTGAGTTACTTACTAGCTATGTAATCTTGAGAAAACTACTCAATCTCTCTGTGCCTTGGTTTTCTTAGATATAAAGCAGATACTAATTGTGCCCTCATAGGGTAGGTATGAGGATTAAATGAGTATTTGTGAAAACACTTAAAACACTGACTGACTTACGGTAAACATCATACAAGCATAAAGTGAACCAAATACTTTCTTTTTAATTATAAAAGTAATACATTAACATTGCAGAAAACTTGGGGAATTCAGAAATGTTATTACTTAGTAAGAGTTGGAATGAATAAGTAAGTGTGTAGTGAGGGTGGCAGGCATGTGTTTCAGGCAGAAAGAACTAAAACTAGAATCTGGTCTTTGAACCCCTAGCCTGGTTGTCTTATTCACCATACTGATTTGTTTATTTTTCTAATTTCTAAATCACTCCTCTGCTATTGACAAAGCAATAAATTGTTATATTTGATGAATGAATCTTCAGAGAACTGGCCTTGAGCCAGCTCTGCTACTAACCAGCTCAGTGGTCCTCTAGAGAATTACTTAATATTTGTAAACCTCAGCTTTCCTACCAGTGAAGTGGAGTTGGTCCTCCCTGTCTTGCAGGGTTGCTGCAAGGATTTAACAACATATGTATGTGCAAAGCACTTAGTCCTGTGCCTGACCCATTTGGTGCTTTTATTTTTCCTCTTCTTTCCTTCTTTTTTCCCTCCCCTCCCTTCCCCTCTTCTTCCCTTTCTTTTCTTTTCTTTCCAACAGGTTCTTGCTTGAATCTTTCCCAGGCTGAATTCAAACTCCTGGGCTCAAGTGATCTTCCTGCCTCAGCCTTCCAAGTAGCTGGGACTACAGGCGTGCACCACTGTGCCTGGCTACAATGCTCTTGGATTGTTCTTTTTCTTTAGTTCCTTCCTAGCTCTTCTGACGGTTTTGGAATATATATATATATCTGAAGGACCTGGTTGCCTCAGGGAGAGAGGATCCAGCAGAGTTACATGGCTCACCTCAAATCCTCCAAAAACCGAATTAATAAGTAAGCAAGGTGAGCATGTTGCTTCTACTTCACCCGTACTTAACACAAAGTCTAGAAGATTTATGGTGTCTATCAGGTTCACATACTGTAACCTTCTGAGATACTTTTCCCTCTCCATTCCCTTTCCTTCTCTATGCTGGCTTTTTTTTTTTTAACTGTGAAATACAACCTATATACAGAATAGTATGAAAGCATACTGGTATAGTTTGAAGAATAATTTTTAACAGTTTTATTAAGAAACAGGATGTTCCATCCATGTTACTGAAAAATACATGATCTTGTTCTTTTTTTCTTAATTTTTTTTTCTTTCTTTATTTTGGCCCTTTTCCAGATCTAGATCTGCAGAGATCTTGTTCTTTTTTATGGCTGCATAGTATTCCGTGGTGTATGTGTACCACATTTTCTTTATGCGTTCTATCATTGATGGGCATCTAGGTTGATTCCATGTCTGCTATTGTGAACAGTGCTGCTGTGAACATTCGCATGCATGTGTTTTTGTGGTAGAATGCTTTATATTCCTCTGGGTATATATCCAGTAATGGGATTGCTGGGTTGAATGGTAGTTCTGCTTTAAGCTCTTTGAGGACTTTCCATACTGCTTTCCACAATGGTTGAACTAACTTATACTCTTACAGTGTATAAGCATTCTTTTTCTCTACAAGCTTGCCAGCATCTGTTATTTTTGACTTATAAGTGGGAGCTAAATGATAAGAACTTAGGAATGCAAAGAAGGAAACAGACACTGGGTTCTTCTTGAGTGAGGAGAGTGGGAAGAGGGAGAGGAGCAAAAAAAAAAATAACTCTCGGTTACAAGGCTTAATACTTGGGCAATGTAATATGTACCACAAACCCCAGTGACACATGTTTATCTGTGTAACGAACGTTCACATGTACCCCTAAACCTAAATTTTTTTTTAAAAGAAACAGAACACCAGCCAGGCACAGAGGCTAATTGCCTCTAATCCCAGCACTTTGGCAGGGCGAGGTGGGCAGATCACTTGAGCCTGGAGTTTGGGGCAAGCCTGGGCAACATAGCAGAACCACAGCTCTTCACAAAGTACAAAAATTAGCTGGGCATGGTGGTATGCACCTGTAGTCCCAGCCCCTTGGAAGACTGAGCTGGAAGGATGCCTTAAGACCAGGAGGTCGAGGCTGCATTGAGCTGTGATCATGTCACTGCACTCTAGCCTGGGAGACACAGCAAGACCCTGTCTCAAGAAAAAAGAAAAAAAGAAAGAAAGAAAAGAAACAGAATGTTGCCAACCCAACCCACTTCTTCACACACCCTCCCCACCCCACCACTCTAATGAAGTCATCACCAATGGACTTCTAAAGTACTCACATATCCTATGTCTAATGGAGGTATGATAGTAGAGACTAAGGTATGCCAGTGGAGACTTATATATCTTATGTCTAAATTATTTAAAGTTATTAAATTTAAAAACCATTAAAACATACTTTCTACCCTGACAAATAAACCTTTATAACAAAATTAGAAAATATTTAATGTTATAGCATTAAATAATTTAAAGCAAAATATCAAAGATGACAGAATTTATTTAATTATTTTATTTTATTTTATTTGAGACAGGGTCTTGCTCTGTCACCCAGACTGGAGAACAGAGATGCAATCACAGCTCACTGCCACCTCAAACTCCTGGGGTCCAGTGATCCTCCCACCTCAGCCTCCCAAGTAGTTGGTACTACAGACATGTAGCCACCAAATCCAGCTAATTAAAAACAATTTTAAAACAAAGATAAGGGTCTTGCTATGTTGTCTAGGCTGATCTTGAACTCCAGGGGCTCAAGAGATCCTTTTGTCTTGTCCTCCCAAAGTGCTGGGATTTAAGGTGGGAGCCACTGCACCCACCTAACAGAATTCAATTATTTAATATTTCACATGTTTTAGTATTCTTTTGATAGGGTTGTGATGTTTGGGTGAATAGTAAAGTAAATCAAAGACACGTATTAAAAATTTTTATGTAATTATTCTACAAAATTAGTTATTTACCTTTATTTTAGCAAAATCAGTATATTACCATAATCAAGATATTTTGGTGTTCTAGTAACAAGATCTAATCACAGTAATGATGTAAGGATTAAAAAATAAAATATTCCTGTCTCTGCTAAAAATAGAAAAATTAACTGGGCGTGGTGGCGTGCGTCTGTAGTCCCAGCTATTTGGGAGGCTGAGGCAGGAGAATTGCCTGAACTTGGGAGGTGGAGGTTGCAGTGAGCTGAAATTGTGCCACAGCACTCCAGCCTGGTGCCTGGCGACAGAGTAAGACTCTGTCTCAAAAAAAAAAAAAAAAAAAAACAACCCTACAATACCATTTATATGAGCATCCCTCAAAATAAGGTATACATCTAGCAAAATATGCATAACATATATATAAGTAAAACTATAAAACTCTGATGAAAGAAATAAAAGAACCAAATAAATGGACAGATATTCCATGTTCATGAATAGGATAGGAAGACTCGATATTGTCAAGATGTAAGTTCTTGGGATTCAGTAGCCTCCCAATCAAAATCCCAGCAAGTTATTTTGTGGATATTGACAAACTGATTCTAAAGATTGTGTGGAGAGGCAAAGGACCTGGAATGGGTGACATGATGTTGAAGAAGAATAAAGTTAAAGTTTCTACTTATTCTACTTATTCTTCAAAATGATTTTCTTGAATATGAAGGCAACTCATCTTCCTCAATATGTAGTCAACTGTAGACTGACAGTGTCCTACTTCAAGACTTGCTGTAAAGCTAAAGTAATCAGGACAGTGTGGTATTGGTGAAAGAACACACAAATAGATTAATAGAGCAGAATAGAGAGCCCAGAAATAGACCCAGACAAATACAGTTAACTAATCTTTGACAACGGAGCAAAGGCAATAGAATGGAGCAAATATCTTTTCAACAAATGGTGTTGGAATAACTGGACATCCACATGCAGAAAGAAAATGAATCTAGACACAGACCTTATACTTTTCACAAAAATGAACACAAAATAGATCATCAACCTAAATATGAAAGAAAAAAGTGTAAAAATTTCTGCTCTATGAAACATAGTGCTAAGAGAATGAGAAGATAAGCCACAGACTGGGAAAATACATGCAAAAGACACATCTGACAAAGGATTCTTATCTGAAATATACAAGAACTCTTAAAACTGAACAATAAAAAAAGAAATCTGATATTAACATATGCCAAATACCCTAACAGGGATCTTATCAAAGAAGATATACAGATGGCAAATAAGCATATGCAATTATGTGCCACATCATATGTCATTAGAAAAACGCAAATAAAAATGATGATATTCTACTACACACTTATTAGAATGGCCAAAATCCAGAACACTGACAACACTAAGTGCTGGTGAGGATGTGGGGCAACAAGAACTCTCATTCATTGCTGGTGGGAATGCAAAATGGTATAGCCACTTTGGAAGACAGTTTGGCAGTTTCTTACAAAATGAAACACATTCATCATATGATCCAACAATTGCATTCCTTGGTATTTACCCAAAGGAGTTGAAAATTTATGTTCACACAGAAACCTGCACGTGGATGCTTATAGCAGCTTTATTCATAACCACCAAAACTTTGAAGCAACCAAGATGTCCTTCAATAGATAAATGAATAAATAAACTGTAGTATATCCAGAAATGGAGTACTACTCAGTGCTAAAAAGGAATGAGGAATCAGGCTATGAAAAGATATGGAGGAACCTTTATATTTATATTTTTATTTTTTTAGAGACAGGGTCTTAATCTGTCATCCAGGTTGGAATGCAATTGCACAATCATGGCTTACTGTTGCCTTGACCTCCTGGGCTTGAGCCATCTTCCTTCCTCAGCCTCCCAAGTAGCTGGGACTACAGGAGCATGTCATCACACCTGGATAATTTTTTTTTGAGTGATTGGGTCTTGCAATGTTGCCTAGGCTGGTCTTGAACTCCTGGGCTCAAGTGATCCTCCTACCTTGGCCTTCTGAAGTGCTGGGATTACAAGTGTGAGCCACTATGCCTGGCTTTTAAAAATATATATATTTATTTTTCTTTTAGAGACAAGGCCTTACTCTGTTGCCCAGGCTGGAGTGTAATGATGCAATCATAGCTCACTGCAGCTTCAAGATCCTGGGCTCAAGTGGGAGAGCAGCTAATGTATTTTTTTTAATTTTTGTAGAAACGGGGTCTTGCTATATTGCCCATGCTGTGGAGCAATACTAAATGCATATTTCTAAGTGAAGAAGCCAGTCTGAAAGGTTATATACCATGTGATTTCAACTATAAGATGTTCTGGAAATGGCAAAACTATGGCAAAAATAAAAAGATGAATTATCAGGGAGTTGGTCAGGAGAGAATGAATAGGTGGAGTACAGAAGATTTTTAGGGCAGTGAAATGACTGACACAGTAATGGAAGACACGTTATTATATATTTGTCTAAATCGATAGACTGTATAATGCTAAGAGTGAACCTTAATATAAACTATGGATTTTGGGGCTGGGTATGGTGACTCACGCCTGTAATCACAACACTTTGGGAGGTCAAGATAGGAGGATCACTTGAGGCCAGGAGTTCAAAACCAGCCTGGTCAGCATTGTGAGGCCCTATCACTACAAAAATAAATAAATAAACCATTGACTTTGGATTATAATGATGTGCCAATGTAGGTTCATCATTAATAACTAATGTACGACTCTGGTGGGGGATGTTTATACTAGAGGAGGCAATGCATGCATGTGGGCAGCAGGTATATGGGAAATCTGTTTACCTTCCTCTAAATTTTGCTGTGAATCCAAAACTCCTCTTTAAAAAATAGAATTATATATATATATATACTTAAAATATATATATATATTTTAAAATTATATTTGAGGTAAAATATTTGAATGATTTTTACCAAAGATGTAAATTAAAACAAATGTAAAAATGAAAACAAAACAAATGCTGTGTGATTCTATTTGTATAAATGTCTAGAAAATGCAAACTAACTTATAATGGCAAACTGCTCTGTAGATCAGCAGTTACCTGGGGAGGGGCAGCGGGGAGGAATTGCAGTGATGTATAATAAAACTTTTGTAGTAATATATTCATCCTCTGGCTGGGCGCGGTGGCTCACGCCTGTAGTCCCAGCATTTTGGGAGACCAAAGGTGGGCGGAGGACAAGGTCAAGAGATCGAGACCATCCTGGCCAATGTGGTGAAACCCCATCTCTACTAAAAATACAAAAATTAGCTGGATGTGGTGGCACACGCCTGGAGTCCCAGCTACTCAGGAGGCTGAGCAAGAGAATTCCTTGAACCCGGGAGGTGGAGGTTGCAGTGAGCCGAGATTGTGCCACTGCACTCCAGCCTGGCACCTGGTGACAGAGCGAGCCTCTGTCTCAAATAAATAAATAATAAATTCATTATCTTGATTGTAGTGATATTGGCACAGGTACATTCATATGTCAAGATTTCTCATTGAAAACTTTATGTACAGTTTATTGTATAACAATTCTGTAAGGCTGTAAAAGTCACAAAAATTTGTTTGTTTTAAAAACATTGTTTCTTTTTTTCCTGAGACAGGGTCTCCCTCTATCACCTAGACTGGAGTGCTGATTGCAGCTCGACCTCCTTAGGCTCAAGTGATCCTCCAGCCTCAACTTCCTAAGTAGTTGGTACCATAAGTGCATGCCACCACACCCAGCTGATTTTTAAATTATTTTTATAGAAATAGGGTCTTGCCATGGTACCCAGGCTGATCTTGAACTCCTGAGCTCAAGCAGTCCTCCCATCTTGGCTTCCCAAAGTGCTGGGATTACAGGTGTGAGCCACTGTCCCTGGCCATCTTAATAATGTTGAATATTTAAAAGAAAAGTAAGGGCCAAGTGCTGTGGCTCACACCTGTAATCCCAGCGTGAGACAAGCCTGGGCAACATGGCAAGACCCCATCTCTACAAAAAACTTAAAAATTAGCTGGGCATGGTGGTGGCCTGTAGTCCTCAAGAGGCTACAGCTGGAAGATCGCTTGAGCTCAGCAGGTTGAGGCTGGAATAAGCCATGTTTGCATCACTGCATTCCAGCTTAGGTGAGAGAGCAAGACCATGTCTCAAAATAAATAGATAGATAATAGATGTGTTTTAAAAAGAATATTTATTAAGTAAAAAAGCAAGCCAAGACAATTTAGTGGGGAAAGGATAGTTTTTCCAACAGATGGTGCTGGAACAACTGCGTAGCCACATGAAAAAGAATGAAGTTAGATCCCCTACCTCATACCATATAAAAAAATTAACTCAAAATGGATTAAAGACCTAAGTATAAGCTGAGGCAGGAAGATCACTTGAGGCCTGGAGTTCAAGATCAGCCTGGGTAACATATGGAGACCTCCGTCTCTTAAAAAAAAAAAAAAAAAGATACAGTACCTGTATTCCCCAAGCCTGAGGCCAGAGAATCACTTGAGCCCAGGAGTTAGAGGCTGCAGTGAGCCATGACTGCACCACTGTACTCCAGTCTGGGTGACAGAGTGAGAACTTGTCTCTGCCACCCCTCCTTCACAAACTGTAAAGATGTAAATGTTTGTGGCCTTGGATTAGGCAATGGTTTCTTAGATACAACATTAAAAGTACAAACAACGGCAAAATAGATAAATTGGACTTCATCAAAATTAAAACCTCTGTGCTTCAAAGGGCAACCAAGAAAGTGAGAAGAGAATCCACACAATGGGAGATATTTTTTTGCAAATCATGTATTTTACAGGACTGGTGTCCAGAATATATAAAGAACTTTTGCAACTCAACAATAAAAAGACAAGTAACACAATTTTAAAGTGTGCAAAGGATTTGAGTAGACATTTCTTCAAAGAAGATATATAAATGGTCAATGAGCATATGAAAATGTGCTCAACTTCATTAGTCATTAGAGAAATACAAATAGAAGTCATGAGATACTGTTTCACACCCACTAGGATGGCTAAAATAAAAAAAGATAAACAATAACAAATGTTGGTGAGGATGTGGAGAAATCAGAACCCTCATACACTTTGGATGGGAATGTAAAATGGTGCAGACACTTTGGAAAATTGGCTGTTCCTCTAAGATTGACCATATGACACAGCAATTCTACTCTTAGGTGTATACCCAAGAGAATTGAAAAGATATATGTGCAGAAAAACTTGTACACAGATGGTCTAGTAGTATTCCAATCCACATGCCCATCAGTGGATGAATGGATAAGCAAAATGTGGTATATCAATAAATGAAATATTATTCAGCCACAAAAAGCAATGAAGTACTGATACACGATCCAATATGGATGGACCTTGAGAACATTATACTAAATGAAAGAAACCAGACACAAAAGGCCACATAGTACAAAAGTACCTTTGTATAAAATGGCCAGAATTAGCAATTCCATAAAGACAGAAAGTAGATTGGTAGTTGCCAAGAGCTGAAGGGAAGGAAGAATGGGAGTGACTGCTAATGGGTACAGGGTTTCTTTTTGGGGTAAGAAAAGTATTCTGGAATTACATAATGGTGATAGGTGTATAACTTTGTGAATATACTAAGACACGCTGAATTGTATATTTTAGAAAGTTGAATTTTATGGTATGTAAATTATATCTCATTAAAATAGTTACATGAGAAAAAACATCAAAGGCAAAATACAGAGTATAATTCAAGAATTTTAATTTTTAAATATAAAGTATTTATAACCAAATTTGATTTATTTTAAAAATGTAATAGTCTTATTAAATAGTTTCATTAAATCAAAGCTGTTCTAGCACTCGGTGTTTATTAATTTGTAATACATAAACAATATCATGTTTTAAGAATAATGTGGTCAATAATGTAAAATGTTTTTCTTCATGTACGGTGGCTGTGAGTACCATGGTAATTAATATAACTAGAAACAGGAAGAAAAGCAAGAAAATGAACACTCAGCAATACTTGGAAGTAAAACCTCATTATGTAAGAATTCATTGCATTCATGCTCTCTCAGGGGGAAGATTTGATAAATTAATATTTTACTTACCTAAGAGCTTCTGCTGCTCAAATCCTCTATACACACTAACGCGGTGTCAGTCTCTCAGTTTGGCAGTGGCACAGGCACAACTTTACGGCAGTTAGATGAATTCCCTTTTTGTTTTGTGGACATAGAACAACAGATGTGAAGATGTACTTCTCTGGGGCCAGCACAAATGCAACCGCTTAGGTTTGTGAGTCTCATTATGTCAGTGCTGAGTGTCCCTGCATTCTTTGATTTGTTTGAGAGTGCGTATTTGTGATTGGCAGGGGATTCCCTTATGTGACTCTAAAAGAGTGTTGCCGATCACATCACTCCATGCTTAGGCCTTAATGATCGTCAGTCTGCCTTCCCACTGCTATACTTTAAATAGGTGCCTGTTATTTAAATTTCATTTTGAGATTAAACAGAATGGCAGAGACAATTTTGAGACAAATCTTTCTTTCATGCTATGGTAGGAAGATCAAGATTTCTAGGACACAGTAGAATGGAGTAAAAGATGAATGTTCTTGGTATCCCATTTTTCTTCTAAGCTGTTTTTTCTCTCTCATTATTCATTATCTATCTCAATTTGTCCTGGTGAACTCTTTTACATAAAAGAGGATCCAGGTCCCACATCCACTGTCAAGGAGGGATGTAAGTGAGAGGATTGGCTTGCAACTCAGCCTGTGTATACAGCTTATGGTTTATCTTGGCACATTCGATGTCCTTATCTCTTAACTTCTTGCTATTCAATAGTAAGTAACTCCCTGGCAGAATTACTTGTGGCTAGAGAATGCTGTTATTAGAGCATTTTTGTTTAATTGGTACTAAGAACAGAAGGTGTCACCTATTTGACTGGCCAACAATTATAAGCAAGGAGGCATTTGATTCATCAAGATAGAAATCTGCCTGTTAGGTGGAAACTTGTCTGTGTGGGTTGATATGTTTTTAGAATATTAAGGCTTGTTTGTGCATGACAGCTTTAGGAAAGGGTACTCCGAATGTCTCCAAAGTTTTGCTGTAACTCTTTACAGAAGTTGGGCTGTTCCTGGTGGACAGTATATAACAATTAACAACCCTTGATCCAGATTGGGTTCCCTTCCTCCATTCTGTATCTGTGTGGTTTTGGGCAAGTTGTTTAACAAACCACTTTTTGCCTCAGTTTCTTCATCGGAACAAGGAGAATAAGAACACTTCAATCAGGCTGGGCATGGTGGCTCACTCCTGTCATCCCAGCCTTTGGGAAGCCAAGGTGGATGGATCACCTGAGGTCAGGAGTTTGAGACCAGCCTAGCCAATGCGGTGAAACCCTGTCTCTACTAAAAATACAAAAATTAGCTGGGTGTGGTGGTGGGCACCTGTAGTCCCAGCTACTTGGGAGGCTGAGGCAGGAGAATTGCTTGAACCCAGGAGGCGGAGGTTGCAGTCAACGAAGGTTGCAGTGAGCCAAGATTGCACCAGTGAACTTCAGCCTGGGCAACAGAGCGAGACTCTGTCTCAAACAAAACAAAACACATACACAAAACAAACAAACAAAAAACAATACCTCAATCAGAATTGTTGTGACGATTAAATGATGTCAAATAGGAGTAATGCATATAAAGCACTTAAACAGTGCCTGGCACATATTAAGTACTTAATGAAGTTACTTAGCATAAAATGAAGGAAAATGTATACAAATGTTGTATGTTGGGCTACAGAGGGGATGACAATTTGAGATAAACTGGAAATTTTACCTTGGAGTTTATCCTAGACCTACCTAAATTACTTGTACTCAGATAAACCTCTTTAAATGAGAATAAACAGTTCTTTCTTCCCTCTTGAACAGGAGGAGTATATACTGGCTGTCTAGAATGACTTCTTTTACTCTTTGTTACTCTGAGCTTTCAAAGGTGTTTCTTTTGGCTTTTTAAAACAACATATGCTGTTCTTAAGTGTTAAATAACAAGATTAAGTGTTATAATTTCAAATCACTTTAAAATTTTTCAAAATTTTGCAAAGCAGTTGTTTTTTTTTTTTTTTTTTAAATAATTGTTTTCCTTTACTTATGCTGGCCTGTTATTGATTGTCCTTGGTAGAACTGATACTGCTTGACAAAGCAGCCTATTAAGTCAGGACCCTTCTCTAGTTTCCTCTGTAGCTATTGCCATAGCCTTCACACTACAGATACTCTCATTGATAAATGAAAGATGTCTTTTTGCTTTCAAGCATTCTGGCAAGTTAGTAACTCAACTATAATTCTAGGTCTGACAAAGCCAGTTATGAACATAAGTCATTTTTATCTTCTCCCTGGTCCCCCCACCACCCACCCAAATCAGGAGAAACTATGTTCTGAATTGGTTTAAAGAACCTGCTCTTTCTTTGATACCTGATCTACAGATCCAATCTATTCCCAGGGATTTTGATGAAAATTCTCAAATCCTCAGCAAGGCTATGGCACTGTCATGACTCTCCTGTTCCCGGTAGTATCATTCTCAGTGTAGGCTATTTGCTAGGTAGTTTTGTGAAGTCTTTTCATCATAATGGATCATATGATTTTTAAAAGCAGGAACTTGGTCATATGCCCAGATTAATTTCAACAAAGTTGGTATGTTTTCTTCCTAAAATTAATTTTTTATGATTATCAAAGTTTTATATGCATGCAGTATATAATATCAGATTTCTATAAGGCTTATAATAAAGAGTAGTATTCCTTTGCCCTACTCCCCTCTCATACTGAGCACCTTACTGCAAAATCAACTGCATTCAACTCTTTTAGCTATTTCTTATGGTTATCTTCATATTTCAAAACAGCATGCTTATATGGCTCTATTTTGAATTTTCAAACTTAGATTTTTATCTACAGACTTCCTTATGGAAGATGAATATTTAGCTCTATTTGTACTACTTTTCTCATCTCTTAATGTAGGCTATGTTAAGATTTTCAGTTAAATCAATTAAAAGGCAGTATAGTATAGTGGCTTAAGAGTGTGGGTGCTGACCTCAAATTCCAGCCTCACCACCACTACTTTGGATGACTTTGAGCAAACTTTAAAACCTTAGTACCTCAGTTCTGTCAACTGAGTAGGTACCTCATAGAATTGCTGTGGATATTAAGTGACTTAATCCTATGGGCTGAATTTGTCTCCCAGATTTCATTTGTTGGAAACTTAATCCCCAATGCAAGTATTGAGAAGTGGGACCTTTCAGAGGTGAATAGGTTATGAGGACTCTGCTTTTATGAATGGATTAATGCCATTGTTGCAGTAGTGGGTTCCTTATAAAAGGAAGAGTTTAATCCCAGCACTTTGGGAGGCCGAGGCGGACAGATCACAAGGTCAAGAGATCGAGACCATCCTGGCCAACATGGTGAAACCCCGTCTCTACTAAAAATACAAAAATATTAGCTGGGTGTGGTGGTGTGCGCCTGTAGTCCCAGCTACTGAGGAGGCTGAGGCAGGAGAATTGCTTGAAACCGGGCGGGGGAGGTTGCAGTGAGCCGAGATTGTGCCACCGCACTCCAGCCTGGCGCCTGGTGACAAAGCAAGACTCTATCTCCAAAAAAATTTTAAAAAGGAAGAGTTTGACTCCCTTTCCTTGCCACCTCATGAATGTGATGGCCTTAGCCATGTAATGCAGTAGGAAGGCCCTTAACAGATGCTGTCTTCTTGATCTTGGACTTCTGAACCTCCAGAGCTATAAGAAATAAAAGTTTTTTCTTTATAAATTACCCAGTCTCTGGTATTCTGTTATGGCAGCGAAAAGCAGGCTAAGACAATATATATGAAGCAGCTTTACTATCTGGCACATCGTACATTTTAAATTCCAGATTTCAGTATCACCAGTATCATCATCATCATCATCATCATCATCATCATCATCTGTGGCTGACTTCCCTGTGCATTTAAAAGATGAGGGCTGATATAGCAGTTATTAATACAAATGAGCCAGTTGGCTGTAAACCTCTCCTATAGGCTTTGCCATAAACTTATGTCTTGGATAATCAGAGAATTTGGGCCTCCTAATGACAGGCCACTGCTAAAGACAAGAAAAGTCCAAAGGGAGCTGACTGAGCATGCTCAGTTCTTTTACCAAAGGCATCAGTCAGACAGATTCTCTTTCCCAAGAGTAGACACTGAGCGGGTGGAAACAGGCTCTGCGTTGACTCCACTGGGAAGTCCCTGAATGGATAGCAGCCAGGGAATTGAGTTTCCCTGTGGCAAGTCTCTACTTGCACAATATTAGGACAGCTGTTTATTAATTTGTTCTGTGGGTGGATATTTTTGATCTCCACAACATAACTACTTACTCACTGTTGCTTTTTGAAATTTATAACATCTAAATGTGCAAATGTAGGGTATGCTCTCAGGAAAATTATATATCTGTTACATTTCTTTACTCCTTTCAGGCCACTTCCATCCATCAGGTGACCTCTAGTAGCATACATACTCAGCAACAATTAAAGGTAGTTTCTGGCTTGTTTTTCCCAAACAATAATTTGTTCAAAATACAGAACTTTGGAAAGTACCCCATGATGAGAAAGTTTTGAAAGAGGATTTAATGTAAAGTAACTATTTTTTCCTCTGATGAATAATTTTGGGAAAATAAATTTGCCTTATATTCAGGCAAATTAAGTTGCTTTCATTTTCAAACAAATTCATCACCTTTTCCTTTCCCCATTCCCCAAACCTGTTCAGTTTCTTCATGCTTAAACTCGGCATCTGTCTTCCCCTCCCTTTACTACCTAGCTAAATCTCTTAAGAGCCAATCTATTGCCACTCCCTTCATCTTTGTTCATCTAATGGATTGATCATAAATTCTGTTGATTCCATTACTCACGTCTCTCAAATCTGTCTCCTTGGATACCTTGCCACTTCTGATTTCAGACAATTGTCATTTGTCACTTGCAGCAGCCTTCCAGCGGCCTTCCTCCCAGTCTCCCCATGAGCACTCTATTCTTCAAACTGTTGCCAGAGAGGAGTTTCTAAAATCCCATTTAATCATGTAATTCCCAGGTTTTAAAAATCGCTGTTGGCTCTCTAACATTTAATTAATAAAGTCTGTGTTTCTTGCGATGACTAACTTGGTTTTGCTGTGATTCTGGCTGCATCCTTAGGGAATCACTTGCAGATATTAATTTTGCTTGTGATGTTCCCTTTACATGGAATGTTCCTGCCTCTCTCCCCCATCCCTTGCCTGATGAAAGCCTATTCATTCTTCATTTCACTTTGGGTGTTACCCTGAGGAAAGAGTGGTTACCTTTTCATTGCCCGTCTGGGCTGGATACCCCTCCTAAGTTGTCCCACAACACACAGTACACACCTTGGTCAGTTATCACACTGTTCATTGTTCTGCCCCTGCTGTTTGTATTTCTCAAATATGAGTTTCTTGAGATTAGGGACTTAGGGACTTGAGATCTCCAGTGCCCAGCAGAGCAGGACCTGTTTCCACTCCCTCAGTGACTACTCCTGGGGGAGAGAACCTACAAATAAATGTGTACTGCATGAATAAAGCTATATATCCTCTTCCTGTTCATAGTTATCCATTTAATTTCTGAACTCTAAATGCTATATTTTTCTTCATTAAATTTGGTTTTATTGGTTTCAGCTTCCTCTTTATATGGATTTTGAGTCCTAATTTTGTCAATCAGCATATCAACAGTTGTTTCTAGCTTTTTGTCACCTGGTAGAATGGCAGCTCTGTGAAGACAGGGATTTGTGTCTGTTTTGTTCACCACTGTCTTTTCAGCATCTAGAATAGTGCTGGCACATATATTATAGATACTCAATAAGTATTTGTTGAATGAATGAAGGCATCACATACAAATTTGATAAATAAAACTTAGATTTTCTTTCAAATATTAATCCTTAGCTCCACTCTGTTCAATAGTTTTATTAGAGATAACCATAAAATACCTTCTTTGTCACATAAGAGTTCTGTGAATCTTACAGAACAAGGCTATACAGAGAAACTCAAGGAACGTCTTAATGAATCAGTTATTTCATTGTGAGAGAGTATAGAAATGGTTGATAGTATGCTGTAAGTAGTTTTATTTTATGTGTAAGTACTCTTCTCTGGTTTCCCAGAACATGCTGCTGGAGTAAGAGAGGAATGCCTTATTGAGGATAGAGGGGATAGATTTGGATACAGCTTTCTTTGAGAAATGTAGAGAGGTCAACTATTACATATCCAGCTGTAACTTCTCTTTCAAAGACTGAATGTTCTCATTCAATCATTTGATACTTTTTATGTATTTACTACAATGTGAAGAATAGAAGAGGGAAATGCACATATAAGGCATGCTGGCAACATTTAAGAAACTCAGATTTGGGGAGACAAGGTGTGTGTGTGTATATGTGCATGTGTGTGCATTTAAAAAGAATGCACAGGGTAAAGAACCTTGGGTTAGTGACAGTGAGTGGCACTGGTGGTAAGTAAGTGCCAGAGAAGCTCAAGGGAGAGAGAGTGCTGAGAACCAATAGGGTGGAACATTTTTATAAGAGCTGGGTTCTGATATATTCCTCCATAGAAAGGCATTTTAAATAACTTTTTTTCTGTCCTTATTCTGTTAAGCATTATTTAATTGTTCTCCCATCTTTAGAAATTTCCCTAGCTTAGGTGCACTGATAAGAAATTATAAAAGCAGCATGGCCAGGCATAGTGGCTCATGCCTGTAATCCCAGCACTTTGGGAGGCCAAGGTGGAGGATTGCTTGAGCTCAGGAGTTTGATACCAGCCTGGGCAACATGGTGAAACCCTGCATCTACAAAAAATACAAAACTTCTGGGAGCAGTGGCATGTGCCTCTAACCCCAGCTACCCAGGAAGCTAAGGAGGGAGGTTGGCTTGAGCCTAGGAGGTGGAGGTTGCAGTAACCTGAGATTGCACCACTACCCTCCAGCCTGGGCAACAGAGCAATAAATAAATAAATACAAACAATAAAAGCAGTGTGTTTGCTTATAAGGAGTGATAGAATAGACAGAGCAGGTCTTTGCGCTAGTCAGATAAGGCTTGGGGTATAAATCTAGAAGCTTCCATTTAAATAGTAGGGAGCCCTTAGGTAAATCACTTAACCTCTGAGCTTTGCCTGTTTCACCTGCGGTTGCTTTAAAGATGGAATGAAACTGTATATCTAAAGTGCCCCTACACATTATCTGCCATGTGGCAGGTTTTCAAGAAATGTTAGTTTTTCTTTCTCCTGACAAAGATAAGATGCTTGCTTTAAATATATTTTTAGGCTTCCTGATCATTAATGGTTATGATTTTAAATTTTGGTCCAGCCACCACCCATATGGTTCCTGCAGTTAACAAAAGAAGCAAAGGTTCACCACCGGGTGAAAGGAGGTGTACAGAAATGGGTGTAGAGAACATAGATGTTTGAAGGGGATCTAATTAGGAAAGTATTTTTCCTGATGGTCCAGAATTTAAAATTACATCATAGAATCTTATGAGAAAATGATAATGTTCAGGTTAAGAACAGTTTATTATTTCCTCTCTATTTTGGAGAATATTTTTCAATATCTTATATAAGAACCTAGTAAAAAATTTTCTTCTTAACTGGTTTCCCACTATAGGCCATTAATCCTGCTATTATTTCAAAGATTAAACAACTATAGTAATAATAGGATTATATGTGCATTAATTTATATTACTTCATTCCGCAAAGGATTTGAGGTAGTTTTTAGAAGCATAAACCAATAGACAAATAAAATGGTAGGATAGGAGTAGAAAGTAAATTTCAGTAACCATGGAAAATATAACATAGTATGTGTTGTTAAGACTGGAGGAATATAAACACATAACCAATCAGGGCCTATATAGTTGTTATAATGCAATAGCAAATTTGACTCTAAGCTTCTAGCAAGCAACATGAAAAGGGAAGCATGATGGATGTGGTTAAATAAGACACAATTTACATGTTCCTTTACTCAAGGAGGCAAGTGTTTTTTGCCCCTTTGTTTCTTATAGGAAGCACTGAATAATGAACTAATGATGGCATTGGCCATATAGTGAATGTAATAATGGATTTTATCAGGCAGTTTCTCTAAGCATCTCTTGATGAAAGATGAGGCTGTGACATCAAGAGACAATTCTGAGGCTGGGCATGGTGCCTCATACCTGTAATCCCAGCACTTTGGGAGGCCAAGGTGGGCAGATCACTTGAAGTCAAAAGTTAGAAACCAGCCTGGCTAACATGGAAACCCTGTCTCTACTAAAAATACAAAAATTAGCCAGGCGTGGTAGCAGTGCCTGTAATCTCAGCTGCTTGGGAGGCTGAGGCAGAAGAATTGCTTGAACCCAGCAGGTAGAGATTGCAGTGAACTGAAATCTCACCACTGCACTCCAGCTTGGGTGACAGAGCAAGACTCCGTCTCAAAAGGAAAAAAAAAAAAAAGACAATTCTGAAAGTAGTAAGTGGTTCTACCATGGGCCAGGATGAGCGCATCTGGGTTATAGATTCTATCTCTGGCCTCATCTAATGGCTTTTTTTTCTTTTGAGACAGGGTCTCGCACTGGCCTGTCACCCAGGTTGGAGTGCAGGGTCGTGATCATGGCACACTGCAGCCTTGACCTCCCAGCTCAGCCTTCCGAGTAGCTGGGACAACAGGTGCATGCCACCATGCCTGGCTAATTAAAAAAAAAAAAAATTTTTAAGAGACAGGATCTCCTTATATTGCCCAGGCTTGTCTCAAACTCCTGGTCTTAACCAATTCTCCAGTCTTGGCCTCCCAAAGTGTTGGGATTGCAGACATGAGCCACCACGCCTGGCCCCCAAAGATATAATATGGTTATTTGAATAAGTGATTTCCTCTCAAAACATAAATTCATTGCTTCTGTTACTTTTGTAACTTTCTGAGATGAAAAGTCGAAAATTCCCAGATTTTTTATTGTTGTAATGGTGGAAGATTTTAGACAAGCAAGGAAGGAGCTAGAATTACCCATGTGATAATGAATTAGAGTTGGAGGTGTATGTAAGTATGCACAGTATGAATTTATGTTTAGCTTAATATAGATACTGATGGTTACACATGACAAATATTTATAGATGTGCATAGATAGATAGGTTGGTATATGCACATGTATTTCCTAGCTCCATTGGCTAAGAGGGCCCAGAAGCCATGTCATCCCTGTAGCAACAAGCACATTTATCTTGGTTTGTAATACTATTCTTCAGTAAAAGCAACCAGGGCTCCTAGAAGCAAGGCCTAATGAAAATATGTAAGATTAGCCTGGAGCATCTTATATATCAGAAAGCAAGATAGTACTCTAAAACTAAAAACAATAAAACTGCTCCTCAATAATGGGAATATGTCAAAGGGTCACAGGAGCCATGTGAAAGAGTTCGCAATAGCCAACAAAATGAAGAAGTATTTGAATTTAAATCAAAGTATAAAATAAATATCTTTGAGTCCATACTGATGTAAACAACGGATTGAATAAATAAATAAATGTGGGAGTCTAGACAAATCTCCCATGCAGAAGAATTCCAAATCATTTATGTAGGTAAATACTTCACTGTCAAAGAGGCAGAGCATAATTAATTCCCTACTCCTTTAAGTGTGGGCTGTTCTTAGTGACTTACTTCTGGAGTGCAGTATAAACAGGAAAAAGAAGACAACTTCACAGTGGAGGAATCTGGCAAACTATCCCACCCAGATGATCAAGGTTTACATCGAAAGCACTAAGCAATGTTGATACTGCACTGTGTTCCCTGGATCTAATGGGATGAAATGGCACTTTGTGTAGTTGTGCTTCCAGAAAAACCTCATAGCCTTAGACTAATCATGGGAAGAACATCAGTGGTATCCTGGATGGGATCTTGGAATAGTAAAAGGATATTGGTTAAAACTGAATAGGGTATAGATGTTTGTTAGTAATAATGTATCAATATTAGTTTATTAATTGTGACAAATGTAACATACTGTTGTAAGACAATAATAGAGGAAACTGGATGTGAGGTGTATGGGCACTCTGTACTGTCTTCACAGTTCTTAGGTAAATCTGAAACTATTCTAAAATGAAAGTTTATTTTTTAAAAGGTAGGAAAGTCTCACATTTTGACTGTACTATTTAGATAAAACTTGGTGTTTTTATCTGAGAATGAGGTTTCCAAGAATTGAAGATACAAGTTAGCTAAGTAGTCAGTAGCAGTGAAACCATAGAATATACTTGTGGTTTTAAGGCAGATCTATGCCACAGAGAGTATCAGAACTATGATCCTTCCTACAATGCTATATCTGACTAAAAAGAAAGAAAAATAACTGTGGTCCTAGTTGCCAATGTTGACTTATAGCCAAAAAAAGATAACTGTCTTATTTGAAAGCATCATGAAATGCTATCAGTATGCAGAAATGAGAGGAGATAACAGAGAGCTGTTCTATTGTATTTTTATTTGATGTTTTAAAAGAATTGTTAATAATATAATGTGAAGAGAAGTCTTAGTTTCAGAGGAATGGGATGTTTGGATTTTAAGATTTAATTTTGCAAAATATAGTCGGTCATTTAAAAAGTTAACTTTATAATGAAAAGAGTTTGAAATTGTTTTCTGTATTAATATCTATTTATTTGTAAAATTTACTTTTCTGCTTAGCTTTTTTTTTGGTAAAGTGATTTTACCTCTTCTATATCAGTCCCCAAACTTTTTGACGAATGGGGTGGGGGATAGTTTCAGGATAAAACTGTTCTACCTCAGATCATGAGACATTAGATTCTCATAAGGAATGTGCAACCTAGATCCCTTGCATGCACAGTTCACAATAGGGTTTGTGCTGCTATGAGAATCTAATGCTGCGGTTGATCTGACAGGAGGTGGAGCTCAGGTGGTAATGCTCACTCACCTGCCACTCACCTCCTGCTGTGTGACCTGGTCCCTAACAGGCTCAGGGGTTGGGCACTCCTGCTCTAGATAACCTTTTGAAGATCTGCAAATTAACTTTAGTACTTTTTTGTATTATTTAATATTTTAAACAAACAAAAATCTAGAGAATAACGTAACACATGTACTCTCTGCATATCCACTACTCTTTACTCAGACCCTAACATTCTCATTGTTGAAAAGATGTAAGCTGGGCATGATGGCTCATGTCGGTAATGTCAGTACTTTGGGAGGCCAAGGCGGACAGATCACTTGAATCCAGGAGTTAGAGACCAGCCTGAGCTATAAGGCAAAACCCTGTCTCTACAAAAATTAGCCAGGTGTTATGACAAGTAGTTCCAGGTACTCAGGAGCCTGTGGTGGGAGGATCAGTTGACCAGAGACTATAGTGAGTTGTGATCCTGCCACTGCACTCTAGCCTGGTGACAAAGCAAGACCCTGACAAAAAAAAAAAAAAAAAGTAAACATTACAGGACAAGCTGTGGTCCCCTGTGTATCCTTTTTCATTCCTAATCCCCTTTATGCACACTTTCCCACAGGTAATTACTATCCCAAATTTGCTTTAATTATTCCCATCATGTTTTATACTATGACTACAAATGTGTGAAGCTATATTCCATTGTGCGTTAATGCCAACATTTTTAATTTATTTTACTACTGATGGAAAATTTAGGTTGTTTCCAGATTTTAACTATTACATATGCTTCTGTGAACATTCTTATTCATTTCTCCTTGTGCACATGTGCAAAATTTCTCTGGAGTACACACCTGGGAGTGGAATTGCTAGAATCTGGCGCATGCACATGTTGTTGTATTTATCAATAGTTAACTCTTATTTATTGCTGTGTTTTCCATTACATATATATATATACCATAATTTGTGTATCTAATCACTTATTTCTAGACATTTGGGTTCTTTCTGTTTGACTATTAGAAATAAAGCAGCTGTAAACATTTGGATATAAGTTTTTGTATAGGCATATGCTTTGGTTTCTCTTAGGTAAATGCCTAGGAATGGAGGAATAGCTGGGTCATATGGTAGGCTTATGTTTAACTTTTTAAGAAATTCCTGAACTGGTTTCCAAAGTGTTTGGACTGTTTTATATTCCCAGTATCAGTATGTGAGAGTTTTTGTTGCTCTACATCCTCACCAACACTTGGTATGATTAGTCCTTTTTAGACATCCTGTGGTGTGTGTGGTTTTTCATTGTTTTAATTGACAGTTTCCTGATGACTAAAGATATTGGGTGCCATATGCATATTTTCCATTTACGTATCTTTTTTGTAAAGTTCAAATCTTTAAAATTGAGTTGGTTGGTTTTTATTGAGTTTTGAGAATTCTATATGCAATTTGCATACAAGTTCTTTACTAGATATGTAATTTGCAAATCTCTCTGTGGATTGTCTTTTTATTCTCTTAGCACTGCCTTTCAAAGAGAAGTTCTTAGTTTTGATGAAGTTTAGTTTATCAACATTTTCTAGTATGGGCATTTAGGTTTTTGATATGTCTAAGAAATCTTTGCCTAAACCAAGATCACAAAGATTTTCTCCAATATTATTTTTTTTTCTTCTTCTCCATCTTGTTTGGACCCAGTCTCACTCTGTTACCCAAGCTGGAGTGCAATGGTGCAATCTCGGCTCACTGCAATCTCCATCTCCTGGGTTCAAGTGATTCTTGTGCCTCAGCCTCCTGAGTAGCTAGGATTAGCAGCGTGTGCCAATGCTCAGCTAATTTGTGTCTGTGTGTGTGTGTGTGTGTGTGTGTGTGTGTGTATGTATGTATGTTTAGTAGACACAGAGTTTCATCATGTTGGCAAGGCTGGTCTTGAACTTCTGGCCTCAGGTGATCTGCTTACCTCAGCCTCCCAAAGTGCTGATGACACAGGATTTTTCTCAGCTACTTTGCCAACCAGGGACTTACTTGGCCATGGGTCTGCCTCTGGCCCCCACCCACTTGGCCCAACTGTGTTGTAGCTTGTACCCATGTTTAGTGGTTCCCAAGCTCTTATCATGCATCTAAAACGAATGAGGATATGCTGACAGTTTGAAGTGTGAGGATGGGTGGAGAAGAATTTTATTGAATGATGGAACAGCTCTTAGCAGAGAGGGGATGCAGGGGGTAGTCTCCCACCCCATAGTCAGGTGGTTTCTCTCTCTCTGTGTCTGGGCCTGGGGCTTTTTATAGACTCAGAATGGGGAGTATGTATGGATTGGTTTGTGAGTATGCAAAAAAGGTTACAGTGAAGACAACACTCAAAGGTGGTCATGATAGTGTAGAAAACCAATTAGGAAAGGGTAGATATGTGGCCAGGCATGGTGGTTCATGCCTGTAATCCCAGCACTTTGGGAGGCTGAGGCAGGAGGATCACCTGAGGTCAGGAGTTTGACACCAGCCTGACCAACATGGTGAAACCACATCTCTACTAAAAATACAAAAATTAGCTAAGTGTGGTGGCACACACCTATAGTCCCAGCTACTTGGAAGGCCGAAGAAGGAGAATTGCTTGAACCTGGAAGGTAGAGGTTGCAGTGAGCTGAGACTGCACCACTGCATTTCTGTCTGGGTGACAGAGTGAGAGTCTGTCTCAAAGAAAAAACAAAGAGTAGGTATGTGTAAAATAGGTGAAGGGTAGGGGATCCATCAGAGGAAAGCATGCCAAACAGGGAGACAGGTTCTCAATCCAGTCCATGGATTTACCTGGGACTTGTAGGTAGGCTTTAAACTGTCTTAATTTGAAGGTTGGGTTTCACTAGGGACCTGTCCCTACACCCGATTTGCCTAGACATTTGTCTGCCTCCTGCTACTACCAATTCTCTCCTCTGAAGAGGTATGTTTAATGGCCATTAGAATAGGGATAATGATTGATATTAACTGCTTCCTGCTGACAGGGGGTGCTATGTTGGGAAAACGGAAGTCAGCTCTCCCTCAGAGGTCTATCTAAGGTTCCCTGGTAAAAGGGAGTCATTGTCTGAGGCTCCAGAAGCATCACTGGAGTTTGATGGCCTGAAAATGAGAAAACACAACCACATTATTAGAAGACATATATAAAATCGAACTAAGGAGATAAAGACAGCTCAAAAATCCCAAGGCTGCCAACATACCCAGATAACTGGTGGCTATAGTTATGCCTGCTAAGATTTGGGTGCATGAGGCTTGGCTTTGGTCAGCTTCTTTGGTCTTATTTTCCCAAACAAAGAAACTTCCAGGTTAGGACACCCTATTTACTCCTATCACCTGGCAGGATTTGAGGATAATTGCCCAGAACTAGAATATTGATCCAGATTTTGACATCACCCATCCCTTTTGTTTCTTCTGAGCTACAGCTGATGATCACTAGTTGGTTTACATAAATAAGCAGGGTTAGTCTAAAATGCAGACAAAAACTTAAAAACAACTAACGAGACTAGAATTTAATGACAAGTATATGATAACTTTTGAAACATAATTTTTCTCTCTCCAGTCCTCATTTTTGTCAAAAACAAATCATGATATGACTGAGTTGTTTGCAAAATAAAAATTTAGTCTTATATTTGGCCTGGTTATTTGCATAAAGTATAGCAAGAATAATTATTTTTCACACAGGCTTTTAAAATTGGCTTTGATGGAACTCTGTTCCACAAGGAATTTAAGATAAAACTTTTCAAAGCTGAGCCCAGCCATGGGTTTGTACCCTCAAATACCTATGAGTTGGGTAAATTCTTCTCTTTAGGTCCCAAGATATCACAGGGTTCTTGGGCCTATTATTTACTCACCACAGGTTGGGAACCCTGTATAAGGACTGTGTAGAAGAAAAAGTATGAGGCCAGTTTTCCCAAAGGGCTTTTATTGACTCTGCAAGTCAGACTTGATTTCTTAAATGTAAGCACACCCTTCCAGTCAAAACCTTGGCAAAACAGTCAGTTTCTCCAATTGTGTCCTGTTGCAAAAGAAAATGGATTCTTATTGCACTGATGCAAATAACTGTGTTGCTGCAAATTAAGAATACTCATGCCGGCGCGGTGGCTCACACTGGTAATCACAGAACATTGGGAGGCTGAAGTGGGCAGATCATGAGGTCAGGAGATCAAGACCATCCTGGCTAACATGGTGAAACCCTGTCTCTACTAAAAATACAAAAATGAACTGGGCGTGGTAGCACATGCCTGCAGTCCCAGCTACTTGGGAGGTTGAGACAGGGTATTCACTTGAACCTAGGAGGCAGAGGTTGCAGTTAGCCAAGGTGACTCCACTAGATTCTACCCTGGGTGACAAAGTGAGACTCCATCCCAAAAAAAAAAAAAAAAAAGGAATACTCACAAATAATTTCCAAATTCTGGAGAAACTAGGCAGAAAGAAATAAATGCGCTTCAAATTTATTTTGTTTATTGGAGTATAGCTTAATTGTTAAAAGCTATAGGTAGCTCAAAATAAGTTTCCCTGACTCTGAAAAACAAAACAAGGATCAGCAATGTTTTAAGCAAAAAGTTAAAAAAGATTACTTCAGCTTTCTATTAGTTCAGTACATTTTGTTAATTCTTCTTCTGCTTGATATTCGTGAGCATTTCAGCTCTTCATGAGTCCTGTACATTTCTGCTCTATTCCAATGTGACAATCTTCAAAGTTATCAGAAACTTGGATTTGAGAGCACCTGTCAAAGTCCTATAGCTGATTATAAAGCATCTTTTAAATAGGACAAAAATAAGACAGTTGTCTGTGATGACAAAATGTCTTTGGGTAGGTGCAGTCAAAAATATGATTGGCAAAGAAATTTGATTATTTCTGTGATTTACAATAACAATGTAATAATCTTAGTTATGACTGATAGCATATACTCAGAGATTAGAATTTTAGAAATATCATACAATTTTGGAACATATAATAGTATTTTTACTAAAATATAACCTGAAGAAGATTAAACATTATTTTTATTTTGGCAATCCCATGTAACTAAACATGTCAGTTAATCCTGTTTACCTCTCTTTTGGAAGCTCCAAAAGCCTTCTGTAGCATCCAAAAGTAAGGGGTCAGAAAAGACAAACTTGAAACTGAAGTTTGATTTGGGGAAGCTTGTTAATTATGTTAGAGGTTTCAAACACTTTATATTATGAAATAGAATTCCAGATTACCATAAGTCATTTATTTAGCCAAAATAATGACTCAAAAATTTTTTTAAAGGTAAAAACTTTTTCTCATTAAAAGGGAAGCTGGGTGCAGTGGCTCACACCTGTAATCCCAGCACTTTGGAAGGCCAAGGCAGGCAGATCATCTGAGGTCAGGTGTTTAAGACCAGCCTGACCAACATGGAAGAACCCCATCTCTACTAAAAATACAAAAATTAGCTGGGTGTGGTGTGCATGCCTGTAATCTCAGCTATTAGGGAGGGAGGCTGAGGCAAAAGAATTGCTTGAATCCAGGAGACGGAGGTTGTGATGAGCCATGATCATGCCATTGCACTCCAGCCTGGGCAACAAGAGCAAAACTCTGTCTCAAATAAAAGAAATAAAAAGAGGGAATACAGCTTTCCAAACAATCTGTCTCTGGTGTCCCCCATACCCTTTATTTTTTTATGAAACCTCATAGATAATTCTGTCTATTCTTAACTAGTTTGACCGTGAGGTGATATTCTTATAAACTTTTACAAATTTTTGTTAAAGAGAAGACCAGTGCCTTAAGAGAACCTTATTGTGCTTTTATTCTAATGTTCAATTTACAGAAAAACCATATAATACCCTTTTGAATTTAGTCAGTATGTTCACATACAGAATTTCTTTTGCAAGATTAATTTTTACAAACCTTCCACAACTTGTTTAAACCTTGAACTTTATCTTATGCAACTTAAAACAATTCTTTAATTCTCTAAACTAGACAAAAACGTACATTCCCATGCCTTCTTATAATCCTTTGCTAAAAACATATTTTACTTTCCTTAAACACCTTGATGTAAATCTGTTTTCAGTAGTCTCAATTACAGGGTATAATGGTAAACCTTAGCAATTTTTAATTTTAATATAAAGTCTGGTAACTTATTTTAGTTATGTGCTAGGCACAAATAAGGTCTGACACTTTCCAATATAGTTAGGGGTGTAGTTAATTCCATGTGTCCGCAGACCTTACCAAACTGTAAAGCAAGCAAGGTGAACAATTTTCAAAAGCCAAAGAAGCACGTTAGGTGCTGTGGCTCACACCTGTAATTCCAGCACTTTGGAAGGCCGAGGCAGGTGGATCACCTGAGGTCAGGAGTTCAAAACCAGTCTGGCTAACATGGTGAAAACCTGTCTCTATTTTTAAAAAATACAAAAATTAGCTGGGCATGGTGGCACATGCCTGTAGTCCCAGCTACTACTCAGGAGGGTGAGGCAGGACTATCACTTAAACCTGGGAGGCTGAGGGAACAAAGATCATGAAACTGCACTCCAGCCTGGGCAACAGAGTGAGACTGTTGGAAAAAAAAAAGAGAGAGAGAGAAGAAAAAGCCAAAGAAGAAATTTATAACTTTAAAGCATTTAATAAACCTAGTAACTGACCCGCATAATTTAGAGCACATGTTTACATTTTAAAGACATTTGTATTTTACCAATAATCTCTAAAAATTTCTATTTTTCAAAGATTAAAATCATGTGAACTATGTTCTTCATCTGTACCCCAGAACCTAAAGTGCAATCAAATATATTTTTTTTTAAATCAAGTGAACTAAAAGGCATTACAGCTTTTATTTTTCCTTCAAAAGATATTTGATCTAAGTGCTTATTTTTCTCTAAGCCAATTAATTAGAGCTCTTTTTATACAAACATCACACATGTTACACATATATAACTACACAGACAGAAGATCCAGTAGTTGTAAGATTTTTCATTGCCCAATCATCTTTTTTTTTTTTTTTAATTTTTTATTGGATTTTAGGTTTTGGGGTACATGAGCAGAGCATGTAAGACAGTTGCGTAGGAACACACATGGCAGTGTGCTTTTCTTTCCTTCTCCCCTTCACCCACATTTGGCATTTCTCCCCAGGCTATCCCTCCCCACCTCCCCCTCCCACTGGCCCTCCCCTTCCCCCCAATAGACCCCAGTGTTTAGTACTCCCCTCCCTGTGTCCATGTGTTCTCATTTTTCATCACCCACCTATGAGTGAGAATATGTGGTGTTTCATTTTCTGTTCTTGTGTCAGTTTGCTGAGGATGACGTTCTCCAGATTCATCCATGTCCCTACAAACGACACAAACTCATCATTTCTGATTGCTGCATAATATTCCATGGTGTATATGTGCCACATTTTTCCAATCCAGTCTATTATCAATGGGCATTTTGGTTGATTCCAGGTCTTTGCAATTGTAAACAGTGCTGCAATTAACATTCGTGTACATGTGTCCTTATAGTAGAACGATTTATAGTCTTTTGGATATATACCCAGTAATGGGATTGCTGGGTCAAATGAAATTTCTATTTCTAAGGCCTTGAGGAATCGCCACACTATCTTCCACAATGGTTGAACTAATTTACACTCCCACCAACAGTGTAAAAGTGTTCCTTTTTCTCCACATCCTCTCCAGCATCTGTTCTGGTTTGGTTTCTGTATTCTGAGTTCTAACTTGATTGTACTATGGTCTGAGAGGCTGTTTGTTATTATTTCAGTTGTTTTGCATTTGTTGAGCAGTGCTTTACTTCCAATTATGTGGTCAATTTTTGAGTAGGTGTGATGTGGTGCTGAGAAGAATGTATATTCTGTGGATTTGGGGTGGAGAGTTCGGTAAATGTCTATCAGGTTTGCTTGTTCCAGGTCTGAGTTCAAGCCTTGGATATCCTTGTTGATTTTCTGTCTGGTTGATCTGTCTAATATTGACAGTGGAGTGTTAAAGTCTCCCACTATTATTGTGTGGGAGTCTAAGTCTCTTTGTAAGTCATTAAGAACTTGCCTTATGTATCTGGGTGCTCCTGCATTGGGTCCATATATGTTTAGGATCGTTAACTCTTCTTGTCGTATCGATCCTTTTACCAGTATGTAATGACCTTCTTTGTCTCTTTTGATCTTTGTTGCTTTAAAGTCTATTTTATCAGAGATGAGAATTGCAACTCCTGCTTTTTTTTGCTCTGCATTTGCTTGGTAAATCTTCCTCCATCCCTTTATTTTGAGCCTTTGTGTATCCTTGCATGTGAGATGGGTTTCCTGGATACAGCACACTGATGGGTTTTGGATTTTTATCCAATTTGCCAGTCTGTGTCTTTTGATTGCTGCATTTAGTCCATTTACATTTAGGGTTAATATTGTTATGTGTGAATTTGATACTGCCATTTTGATGCTAAGTGGCTGTTTTGCCTGTTAGTTGTTGTAGAATCTTCATTATGTTGATGCTCTTTAACTTTTAGTGTGATTTTGGAATGGCTGGTACTGGTTGTTCCTTTCTATGTGTAGTGCCTCTTTTAGGAGCTCTTGTAAAGCAGGGCTGGTAGTGACAAAATCTCTGAGTACTTGCTTGTTCACAAAGGATTTTATTTTTCCTTCACTTCTGAAGCTCAGTTTGGCTGGATATGAAATTCTGGGTTGAAAGTTCTTTTCTTTAAGAATGTTGAATATTGGCCCCCACTCTCTTCTGGCTTGTAGTGTTTCTGCCGAGAGATCTGCTGTGAGTCTGATGGGCTTCCCTTTGTGGGTAACTCGACCTTTCTCTCTGGCTGCCCTTAGTATTTTCTCCTTTATTTCAACCTTGTTGAATCTGACGATTATGTGCCTTAGGGTTGCTCTTCTTGCGAAATATCTTTGTGGTGTTCTCTGTATTTCCTGCATTTGAGTGTTGGCCTGTCTTGCTAGGTGGGGGAGGTTTTCCTGGATGATGTCCTGAAGAGTATTTTCCAGCTTGGATTCATTCTCTTCATCCCCTTCTGGTACACCTATCAAACGTAGATTAGGTCTTTTCACATAGTCCCACATTTCTTGGAGACTTTGTTCATTCCTTTTTGCACTTTTTTCTCTAATCTTGGTTTCTCGTTTAATTTCATTGAGTTGGTCTTCGACTTCAGATATTCTTTCTTCTGCTTGGTCAATTCGGCTATTGAAACTTGTGCATGCTTCGCGAAGTTCTCGTATTGTGTTTTTCAGCTCCTTTAATTCATTCATATTCCTCTCTAAGTTATCCATTCTTGTTATCATTTCCTCATATGTTTTTTTAAGTTCCTTAGTTTCTTTGCATTGATTTAATACATGTTCTTTTAGCTCACAAAAGTTTCTCATTATCCACCTTCTGAAGTCTAATTCCGTCATTTCGTCACAGTCATTTTCCGTCCAGCTTTGCTCCCTTGCTGGTGAGGAGTTTTGGTCCTTTCTAGGAGGCGAGGTGTTCTGGTTTTGGGTGTTTTCCTCCTTTTTTCGCTGGTTTCTTCCCATCTTTATGGGTTTATCCGCTTGTCGTCTGCGTAGTTGCTGACTTTTCGATTGGGTCTCTGAGTGGACACCCAGATTGTCGATGATGAAGTATTTCTGTTACTTGGTTTTCCTTCTACCAGCCTAGCCCCTTCGCTGTACGACTGCTGAGGTCCACTCCAGGCCCTGCTTGTCTGGGGTGCACCTCTAGCAGCTGTGGCACAGTGAGGGATGCTACCCGTTTCTTTTTCTGCTATCTTTGTCCCAGGATGATGCCTGCCAAATGTCAGTCTTTTGGATATAGAGGGGTCAGGGAGCTGCTTGAGGAGACAGTCTGTGTACTTTTTTGGAGCTCAATTGCTGAGCTGTGAGCTCTGTTGTTCATTCAGGACTGTTAGGCTGCTATGTTTGATTCTGCTGCAACAGAGCTCATTAAAAAAAACCCTTTTTTTCTCAAATGCTCTGTGTTGGGAGGTTCGGGCTTTATTTTTCGATGTCCGATGAGGTGTCCTGCCCAGCTAGAAGGCAGACTAGCCACTGTTTGGCTGCCGAGGCTCCGCCCTGCTGTTGTGTGATTCGCCCTGTTCCTGCAGGCTCTGCTGTGGTCTCCGCCACGCCCTGCGGCGGAGTCTCTTTGTTGTAGTGTGTTGCCTCGGCAACGGCAGGCTGCATCAGCAGTGGGCGTGTATCTCAGTAGGGACAGGTTGCCTCGGCAACGGAAGGCTGCGTCAGCAGTGGGCGTGTATCTCAGTAGGGACGGGTTGCCTCGGCAACGGCTGGCTGCGTCAGCAGTGGGCGTGTATCTCAGTTGGGGCGGGTTGCCTCGGTAGTGGTGGACACCCCTCCCCCACAGAGCGTCTCGGACCATCTGCTCGGGATAGTTTGAAATCGTGGTTTTGTTCGTCCCACTGGGTGTCCCAAACGATCTGTCCTGCAATCCCCTGGGCTGGCCTACTGTCCACGTCTCGTTCAGTCTCAAGTCCAGCCCTCTCAAGTCTCAGGTTGCCGGTTCAACAGGGCACCTGGACAAGCGCGCCCTGTGGGGATTGCTGGGTAGGGCCGGCCGCCGCCGCCCCGGCTGCCGGCTTCGCCAGGCCGACCTACTGCCTGGCGTCCCGTGTCTTTTTTATACTTGGGAGTTTCCCCGTTCTGTGGGCAACAAAGATCAGTCTGGAAATGCAACTCTGACTCACCGTTTGCGGATTCAACGAGAGCTCCAATCCTGGGTTGTTCTCACAGCGCCATCTTGAGTCCTCCCCATCTTTTTTTTTTTTAATGGGCCTCAAAATTCTGTCAAAAATTTTGGTCAAGTTGTTTCCATTAAAAACTACTGATTTTGGAAGAGGAGATCCAAGATGGTGGAATAGGAACAGCTCTGGATTGTAGCTCCCAGCAAAAACACAGAGGATGAGTGACCACTGTATTTACAAACTAATTTTTACTGCCCACAGACCAGGAGATTCCTGGGCAGAAAAGCACCACAGGTCTCTAGTACAGCTGTTTCAGCTGGCACAGTGGGTCTCCACACAAAAACTCACACAAATCTGGGTGCCATTTCAACTGGCAACTGGAATGCCTGGGAGACAGAGTCACCCGTTCAACTGAGAAAAAGGGGGCTGAAACAGGGAGCCAGGTGATCTGGCTTGGCTGGTCCCCCCCAACACAAAGACCAGCAATCTGAAATGCTCTGGATTGAGAGTTTCACAGCAAGCACAGCTGGACCCAGGATGGTACAGCTCCTTGGGGGGAAGGCTGTCCACCATTACCAAGGCAGTCCACCATTACAGAGACAGTCTGCCATTTCCAAGGCAGTTCTAACTATACACCTATAAAAAAAACTGCAAGGACGTTCACACAGCAACTGGGCAGAGCCCATGGCAACTCAGCAATGCCTCTGCTGGCAGACTGTGACTAGGCTACCTCCTCACTGGGCAGGGCATCTATGAAAAAAGGGAGCAGCATGACAGGGACTTATAAATAAAGCCCTACCTTCTAGTGACAGAGCACCTGGGAAAAAAAGGTGGTTATGAATTCTTCTGCAGCAGACTTAAATGTACCTGCCCAGCAGCTCTGAACAGAACAATGAAGCTCACAGCTCAGCAACTGAGCTCCTATAAGGGACACACTGTCTCCTCAGGAGCTCCCTGATCCCCGTATATCCAAAGAGTCACCTCATAAAGGAGAGCTCAGACTGACATCTGGCAGGTATCCTTCTCAGACAAAAATAGCAGAAGAAGAAACTGGCAACAACCCTTACTGTTCTGCAGCCACTGCAGGTGATCCCCAGGCAAGCAGGGTCTGGAGTGGACCTCCAGCAGTCCTACAGCAGAGGGCCTGACTGTTTGAAGGAAAACTAAGAAGCAGAAAGAAATAACTTCATCATCAACAAACTGGATGTCCACTCAGAGACCCCATCTGAAAGTCACGAACTACAAAGACCACAGGTAGATAAATCCATAAAGATGGGAAGAAACCACACAAAAAGGATGAAAATACCCCAAACCAGAATGCCTCTCCTCCTCCAAGGGATCACAACTCCTCACCAGCAAGGGAGCAAGGCTGGATGGAGAATGAGTCTGATGAATTGATAAAAACAGGATTCAGAAGGCGGATAATAACAAACTTCTCTGAATTAAAAGAACATGTTCTAACCCAATGCAAAGAAACAAATAACCTTGAAAAAAGGTTTGAGGAAATGCTAACGAGAATAAACAGCTTAGAGAGGAATATAAATGAATTGATGGATCTGAAAAGACCAACACAAGAACTTCACGAAGCATACACAAGTTTCAATGGCTGAATTGACCAAGCAGAAGAAAGGATATCAGAGATTGAAGATCAATTCAATGAAATAAAATGAGAAGGCAAGATTAGAGAAAAAACAATGAAAAGAAATGAACAAAGCCTCCAAGAAATATGGGATTATGTGAAAAGACCTAATCTACATTTGATAGGTGTGCCTGAATGTGACAGAGAGAATGAAACAAAGCTGGAAAACACTCTTCAGGATATTATCCAGGAGAACTTCCCCAACCTAGATGTGCCTCAAGATATTCCTCAAGAAGAGCAACCCCAAGGCACATAGTCAGATTCGCCGGGGTTGAAATGAAGGAAAAAATTCTAAGGGCCGCCAGAGAGAAAGGTTTGGTTACCCACAAAGTAAAGCCCATCAGACTCACAGCAGATCTCTCAGAAGAAACCCTACAAGCCAGAAGAGAGTGGGGACCAACGTTCAACATCCTTAAAGAAAAGAACTTTCAACCTAGAATTTCATATCCAGCCAAACTAAGCTTCATAAGCGAAGGAGAAATAAAATCCTTTATGAACAAGCTATTACTCAGAGATTTCATCACCACCAGGCTTGGGAGGGTGCAAGTGTCCAGGAATTTATTCATTTTTTTCAGGCTTACTGGTTTATGTGCATAGAGTTGTTTGTAGTAATCTCTGATGGTGGTTTCTATTTCTGTGGTGATATCCCATTTATCATTTTTAATTGCATCTATTTGATTATTCTCTTCTTTTTTATTAATCTGGCTAGTGGTCTATTTTGTTGATCTTTTCTAAAAACCAGCTCCTGGATTTATGGATTTTTTGAATGGTTTTTTGTGTCTCTATCTCCTTCAGTTTTGCTCTGATCTTAATTATTTCTTGTCTTCTGCTAGCTTTTGAGTATTTTTGATCTTGCTTCTCTAGCTCTTTCAATTTTGACGATTCCTGAAAGAAGCACTAAACATAGAAAGGAACAACCAGTACCAGCCACTCTGAAAACATACCAAATTGTAAAGAGCATCAATACAATGAAGAAACTGTATCAACTAATGGCAAAACAACCAGCTAGCATCAAAATGTCAGGATCAAATTCACACATAACCGTATTAACCTTAAATATTAGGTTAAACCAGGCTAAATGCCCCAATCAAAAGACTCAGACTGGCAATTTGGATAAAAAGTCAAAACCCATAGGTGTGATGTATCCAGGAAACCCAACTCACATGCAAGGATACACACAGGCTTAAAATAAAGGGGTGGAAGAAGATTTGCCAAGCAAATGGAGAGCAAAAAGAAAAGCAGGAGTTGCAATCCTAGTCTCTGATAAAATAGACTTTAAACCAACAAAGATCAAAAGAGACAAAGAAGGGCATTACATACTGGTAAAAGGATCACTGCAACAAGAAGAGCTAATGATCATAAATATATACGCACTCAGTACAGGAGCACCCAGATGCATAAGGCAAGTTCTTAATGACCTACAAAGAAACTTAGATTCCCACACAATAATAGTGGGAGACTTTAACACTCCACTCTCAATATTAGACAGATCAACCAGATGGAAAATTAACAAGGATATCCAGGACTTGAAATCAGACCTGGACCAAGCAAACCTAATAGACGTTTACAGAACTCTCCACCCCAAATGCACAAAATACGCATTCTTCTCAGCACTGCATCACACCTACTCTAAAACTGACCACATAACTGGAAGTAAATCACTCCTCAGCAAATGCAAAAGAGCAGAAATAATAAAAAACTCTCTCAGACCACAGTGCAATCAATTTAGAACTCAGATTTAAGAAATTAACTCAGAATCACACAACTTCATGGAAACTGAACAACTGGCTCTGGAATGTTCACTGGATAAACAATGAAATGAAGGCAGAAATAAAGATGTTCTTTGAAACTTATGAGAATGAAGACACAACATACCAGAATCTCTGGGACACATTTAAAACAGTGTATAGAGGAAAATTTATAGCAATAAATGCTGACATGAGAAGCAAGGAAAGATCTAAAATAAACACCCTATCGTCAAAATTGAAAGAGCTAGAGAAGCAAGATCAAAAATACTCAAAAGCTAGCAGAAGACAAGAAATAATTAAGATCAGAGCAAAACTGAAGGAGATAGAGACACAAAAAACCATTCAAAAAATCCATAAATCCAGGAGCTGGTTTTTAGAAAAGATCAACAAAATAGACCACTAGCCAGATTAATAAAAAAGAAGAGAATAATCAAATAGATGCAATAAAAAATGATAAATGCGATATCACCACAGAAATAGAAACCACCATCAGAGATTACTACAAACAACTCTATGCACATGAACCAGTAAGCCTGAAAGAAATGAATAAATTCCTGGACACTTGCACCCTCCCAAGCCTAAACCAGGAAGAAGTGAAAAACCTGAATAGACCAATAACAAGGGCTGAAGTTGAGGCAGCAATTAATAGCCTACCAACCAAAAAAAGCCGAGGTCCAGATGGGTTCACAGCTGAATTCTACCAGATATACAAAAAGTAGCTGGTACCACTCCTTCTGAAACTATTCCAAACAATCCAAAAATAGGGAATCCTTCCCAAATCATTTTATGAAACCAATGTCATCCTGATACCAAAACCTGGCAGAGACTCAACTAAAAAAGAAAAATTCAGACCAATATCCATGAAGAACATAGAGGCAAAAATCTTCAATAAAATACTGGCAAACCAATTGCACCAGCACATTAAAAAGCTTATCCATCACGATCAAGTAGGCTTCATCCTGGGGATGCAAGGCTGGTTCAACATACTCAAGTCTATAAACGTAATTCACCACATAAACAGAACCAAAGACAAAAACCGCATGATTATCTCAATAAATGCAGAGAAGGCCTTTGGCAAAATTTAACAGCCCTTTATGCTAAAAACTCTCAATAAACTAGGTATTGATGGAACATATCTCAAAATAATAAAAGCTATTTATGACAAACCCACAGGCAATATCATACTGAATGGGCAAAAACTGGAAGCATTCCCTTTGAAATCTGGCACTAGACAAGGATGCCCTTTCTCACCACTCCTATTCAATATAGTATTGGAAGTTCTAGCCAGAGGAATCAGGCAAGAGAAAGAACTAAAGGGTATTCAGTTAGGAAAGGAGGAAGTCAAATTGCCTCTATTTGCAGACGACATGATTGTATATCTAGAAGACCCCATCGCCTCAGCTCAACATCTCCTGAAACTGATAAGCAACTTCAGCAAAGTCTCAGGATGCAAAATCAATGTGCAAAAATCACAAGCATTCCTCTACACCAATAACAGACTTAAAGAGAGCTAAATCAAGAGTGAACTGCCATTCACAATTGCTACAAAGAGAATAAAATACCTAGGAATACAACTAACAAAGGATGTAAAGAACCTCTTCAAGGAGAACTAGAAACCACGGCTCAACGAAATAAGAGAGGACACAAACAGATGGAGAAACATTCCATGCTCATCGTTAGGAAGAAGCAATATCATGAAAATGGCCATACTGCCCAAAGTAATTTATAGATTCAACAGTATCCCCATCAAACTACCAATGACCTTCTTCACAGAACTGAAAAAAACCACCTTAAACTTCATATGGAACCAAAAGAGAGCCTGCATAGCCAAGTCAATTCTAAGCAAAAAGAACAAAGCTGGAGGCATCACACTACCTGACTTCAAACTATACTACAAGGCTACAGTAATCAAAACAGCATGGTACTGGTATCAAAACAGAGATATAGACCAATGGAACAGAACAGAGGCCTCAGAGGCAATGCCACACATCTACAACCATCTGATCTTTGACAAACCTCACAAAAACAAGCAATGGGGAAAGGATTCCCTGTTTAACAAATGGTGTTAGGAAAACTGGCTAGCAATGTGCAGAGAGGAGAAACTGGACCCCTTCCTGACAACTTACACTAAAATTAACTCCAGATGGATTAAAGACTTAAACATAAGACCTAACACCATAAAAACCCTAGAAGAAAACCTAGGCAAAACCATTCAGGACATAGGCATAGGCAAGGATTTCATGACTAAAACACCAAAAGCATTGGCAACAAAAGCCAAAATAGACAAATGGGATCTAATTAAACTCCATAGCTTCTGCACAGCAAAAAAAACACAATGATTACAGTGAACTGGCAACCAACAGAATGGGAAAAAATTTTTGCAAGCTACCCTTCTAACAAAGGACTTATATCCAGAATCTACAAAGAACTAAAACAGATTTTCAGGAAAAAAAAAAAAAAAAAACCATTCAAAAGTGGGCAAAGGATATTATCAGATACTTTTCAAAAGAAGACATATATGAGGCCAACAAACATATGAAAAAATGCTCATCATCACTAGTCATTAGAGAAATGCAAATCAAAACTACATTGAGATACCATCTCATGCCAGTTATAATGGTGATTATTAAAAAATCTGGAGACAACAGATGCTAGAGAGGATGTGGAGAAATAGGAGCAATTTTACACTGTTTGTGGGAGTGTAAATTAGTTCAACCATTGTGGAAAACAGTGTGGAGATTCCTCAAAGACCTAGAAATAGAAATTCTATTTGACCCAGCAATCCCATTACTGGGTATATATCCAAAGGATTATAAATCATTCTGTCATAAGGACACATGCACATGAATGTTCATTGTGGCACTGCTTACAATAGCAAAGACTTGGGACCAACCCAAATGCCCATAGATTATAGACTAGACAGCGAAAATGTGGTACATATACACCATGGAATACTATGCAGCCATAAAAAATGATGAATTTGTGTCCTTTTTAGGGACATGGATGAACCTGGAAACCATCATTCTCAGCAAACTGACACAAGAACAGAAAATTAAACACTGCATGTTCTCACTCATAGGTGGGTGTTGAACAATAAGAACACATGGAGATGGGGTTGGGGAGCATCATACACTGAGGTCTGTGTGGGGGACTAGGGGAGGGACAATGGGGGGTAGGGAGTTGGGGAGGGATAACATGGGGAGAAATGCCAAATATGGGTGATGGGGATGAAGGCAGCAACCCACATAGCCATGTATGTACCTATGCAACAATCCTGCATGTTCTTCACATGTACCCTAGAACCTAAAGTGCAATGAAATATACATATAAAAAAAGTACTGATTTTAAAAACTAGTGACTTAAAACTGCCACACGTTAAAAAAGAAAGCCATCGTGGTCCACAAAACATTCTGAAGGTTTTACAATGCATTGTTATCATTAACCAATCTTTTACTATTAAACTTAAATTGACCAATCTCCTAATTAGATTACTAGACTCAGGATGGAGCCCTTCAAGAACAGGGCTAGGAAAGCATGCACTTTATAGGGCCCGATAAACAGTTATAGTGGAAGACAAAAACAGATTGTGAGAGAGATTTCTGTGCTTTTAATTATTGGGGTTCTATGAGGAAAACAGAGGTTTTTTTTCTAAAATGGGGTCAGTAGTACCTCTTCTATTTTTTCCAGAGAGTCCCAGGCCATCAGAAGTTATCTGAGGGCCTCTTATGCATGCATTAAGAGTGGCAAGACAAAATGGAGAAAAGTAATTCAATAGACTGAAAAAAATTCTTTTTCCAGTGAAACAAGATCCGAGAAGAGAAAAACATAAAGGTCTTTTAAACATACCTATAGCTTGGATATCCACTTTTAATTAAGTTGACTTTTGACCATACTCTTTTTACTTTAAAAAAAAATTTTTTTTTTTGAGACAGTCTTGCTGTGTGGCTTAGGTTGGAGTGCAGTGGCACAATGTCAGCTCACTGCAATTTCCTCCTCCCAGGTTCAAGTGATTGTGCTCCCTCAGCATCCTGAGTAGCTGGGATTTCAGGTGCATGCCACCGCACCCAGCTAATTTTTGTATCTTTAGTAGAGATGGGGTTTCACCATGTTCATCAGGCTGGTCTCAAACTCCTGACCTTGTGATCCGAGGCTATCCTTTTAAATCCCTTGTTGCCCAGCTTTAGCCACATCAAGTGGCCAATATTTCTGGCTTTTGAACTTTACCAAAAGTAACCTCATAGGTGAAACCAAAACCTTAAGTAAGGTTGTGACTTAATCGTGAATGTACAAGGTATTTTCAAAGAGGTAGTAAAGCAGTATTTACAAAATCTAGAATCTTTAAAGATAGCTCAAAGAAAGGAATATTTAAGAAAGGAAGCTAGAAGTTGTCATGGAGGGGAAGAGAATCAGCAAATAATAAAAGTCACACAGATATTAGCCAGAAAGTACTCATTCCCTAAGCCAGGATTGAACCTGGGCCGCCATTGTAAAATGGCAGAGACCAAAGGAATGTACTGCTATGTGGTTACAAGGTCAAGCTCCCAAGGACATAAAACAAGATGGAGGCCTCATTCAGTTTTTTTCCCTCAGAGACCTGTAGCAAAGTTTGTAACTGACCAGTTTGCAGGGCTGGCTTGAACAGTGGGCTTATGGTCCTAGGCCTGTGTTCTATTCTGTCTTCCCCCTTATGACAGAACTATACAGAAAAACACACAAAGCACACCAGATTGGCTACAGTTTAAGATTAGCCTCACAAATCCCTTTTTCCATTAATCAAACTTTACAGAAGAGTAAATAGTGATTTTTATCATTCCTTTTACTGGTTTTCACAGGGAGAAAGGGGCCAGAAGTCTGACTGGTAAGAACTTTTGCCCTTTTGCTGGCATGTCAGGCTTCTGGGTTCCCTTCTCAATCCAATTTTAACCCAAGCAGTTTAAGGTTTGGGGAAATTAAACTTTTCTCAATTTGGTGGATGCATCCAAGGGTAGTGTCCTGTGGT